TTCCGTGAACCAGCTGTCGCCCTCGCCTCTACAAACGACAAATTTCAAAAGTCGAGGTCTTTCCTTTTCGCGTGCGATTCCTAGTTACTCATTTCAATGAACACCTTTATTGAGACATTATTTATAGGAAATATATTGTTGAACCTCTCCGTATCTACCAACGTTGGTATACTTACTACAACGTGGTATACTTATTTATATTCAATAACTTCATTTATTAATTCAAAATGACAACACTGTACCTACACTTTATGATTACCGCACGTATTTCATTTGTTTATTGTTGCTCGTCACTTTCCTACTAATCTGCATTCTGAAATAATTTTTGAACTTATTCAATCTATCTACCAGCTCGACGCTCTCTACTATATATACCATTTTCGAACGTTCTTATATGTAAGCGAGCGAGTACAGTATTCTTTTGTTTTCACTTCATGGAGCTTTCGTTCTACGTGCGTGTCGAAGTGACGTCACGCACACAACGCTGTCGGGCTTGTGTCAGTGCCGGTTCTTTTTAGCTTCGCCATAGGCATGAAATTGCCCTCCACTTTCTTTGAATAATTATATGCGTAATAGCTAGACTGATTTCGATGTAACCAACTAGGAGAATTGTTACCATTTTATGGGATCACTTTTTCTACTCGACGACCAGTAGCTTGCGATGGGGGTGGAAAGCCACCCCTCTTTGAAGTTACTTCATCCCAAGTAACCCGGCCTTCCAGCTGGGGGATTGTTTTTCCTTATGTTTGTGTGCTCTAAACTCGTTCTTTTGTTACCAGGATCCATTTTAAACCTCAACGATACTAAAACTCACTTCTTTCCATCGTTCTGTTTGTAGGCTTCGTCTCCACTCTATGAACCTTTCTGATTTCAGCGGCATGTACTTTAGCAGTATTCCATCTATCCTCCATTGATCTGCTCTTCCTTTTCTTTTGACGGATCTGTTGTACGTATGCCATCAGACCGCGGTCATTTTCAACAGCCATTTGCAGTTTCCCTAAAGATGGTTTATATGAGCTTGTTGATTTCTTCTTCAACGTCGATTCTAACAGCGAAGTCACCCTTTGATGCAACTGCTTTCCATTCTTCTGGAAGCAGTTTTTGCAGTAATAGCAATACAGAATGTATTGCTGTTAGCAGACCTAGCCTCAGTTGATCTAAGTTAGCTTTAACCCATCGATTATTCAAATATGCTCTATGAATTTCTTCGAGCCTTGGGGCTAGGCCATACTAGTTGGTCTTTCGATATCTGTCCCATACACTTGCAAGGTCTTCATTAGATGTCCAGCGATTTGCGATAGACCGAGTCCTTTCTCTTCTTGTGGTCTTGACGCTGTTCTTGCTAATAACTTTTGTTTGGTCACCCTATGTATTCAATACCTCATATCGCCTAACTTTTCTTAAGTATCCACCTTTGATCTCTAATTATAAAATACTGTGTATCTTCAGTAGGGATTATTTACCATCTGCAAATTATCGCCGAGATAGATCGGGGACTTTTTCATTCCCCCCGAGAATGACGAAAGAACAATGAAATGATGGTAACTGTAATCTTGAGATTGCAGCCTACTCAGTTGATAGTCAATGTTTATAACGTGTTTGAAAAATCTGCTACATGTGTGTGAATATACATTATTTTATTTTATACATTTTTTTTATCGACTATGATCCCATATTCACTTATTTTGAGACCGCTGTTATATTCGGCAATGCCGACGTTCTTGAAGATAACCTCGTTTGCATTTTGTACGAATATTGAAATTTGGTTTTTCAACCGGTATACCACACATTGCCGACTTCGAGCCATTTCAGTTGATTTAATCTACAGATTTTTGAATGGCGATTCTATCAGCTGTCAGTGGTATGTCACGTTTGATAATATGCGGAGTGCGAATGAAAGTTTCACGAAGCCAATTAATGTTTATAAGAAGTGGAAAACGTGTGCGATCTTTCAATAACCAATAAATTTGAGATAAATCTGGGTGAGCAACAAATAAAAATCGTTTATAGTTTATCGTATCGGCAATGTTTGTTTTCTATTGAAGGTGGAAGGTAGAGTGGGTAGTTAATTTTTGTATTTCAATGGTACATTCAAAAGTAGATGTGTGAAAGAAATGCCTAATCATAAAAACTTTTTTGATCAGTTAAATTAGGAACTCCTGTAGTGATAGACAAGACAAATATACTTTATTGTCCAGCTAAAATTCAATACTTTTTGATAAAATGAAAAAGAAAAATTTAAAATCTATGACAGTACAAGTACGCAACTTATATACATAAATACATAAGTATCTATATAACATTGAATAAAAACATTATGTAAGGAATAATAATTTAAATATCACAGCAGAGCTTCATTGTAAAATTTTTTAAGGGTACGCTTCATTCCACCTTGTTGACAATCTTCCTAAACAATTTATATGAGGTGATAGTTGTGAATTCCAATGAAATGTGATTGTGAACCTTTTTGCTTTCATAAATCAGTGAATTTTTTGTTTGAGGTTAATTTAGGGACAGGAAGAAGCATATGTTTCATTTAATCTTTGTCGTGGATTGTACTTGTAAGATCCTCGAGATCCTTTTGAACTTTTTGAACAAAATGATTTTGGCGGAGGTATCCCAAAAAAGCTATATCGTATCTCAAATGAGCTGCAATTAAAGCTTTTGCTCTAGTTCTCTAGTTAAATTTGGTTCATTTGCTACGTAACATTCTTATGCAAATGTATGTTTAATGTTTTTGATGAGTAGACCTAAGAATTTGAATTGTGTTGTATTTTCTGTACTATGGTCGTTTATTGCCACATCTTAGCAATCAAAATTAAAAGTGATTATGTTCGCTTTTTGGATATTAAAACATGAATTGGAATCACACCATTTGACGACTCTGGCCAAGTTCCTAATGATAGTTTCTAGCATATTTGAGGCATTTTTATGTCAAAGAAATAGTGAACCTCTCTTGAACCGTTATAGTAGATAAGTCGTTCATATATAATAGGAAACTGTTGAAGCCAATCAAGTAACCTTGAGGGACACCATAAAATATGCCCCTATTCTCTGATAGTTTACTTTTCGGTTCTACAACCTGTTTTCTGTTATTAATATGGGACTTTTAAAGCTCCAAACCATCGCGATCCAGTTTACGCAAAAGTTCGAGGTCATTTATTCTTGGACGCTTGGTCTTACGTTTATCGTACTTATAAAAAAATAAATGACTTGTTTTCGATATAAAAAAACAAATTCACAAAAGTTGTACCGGAATTCATCACTTATGCATATATTTTGCTGTTTCCTTTTTTTGTATAGCGTTTGGTTAGGAAAGCTATCACTCGTAATGAGTATTTAGATTTATAAGTTTTTTTTATTGATGTTAGGACATTCTTATCAATTTCTCTACCCAGTATTACATAAGTGAGTTGTGATTTAAACTAGCTCATGGTGCATCTTCAAAATTTCAAATGGTGACACTAATCACAGGTGTTCAGTTCAGTATGTAGTACTGTTCATTTACATGCTTATCATATGTAATATAGTGAAACTAACAATAATTTATTTATTGATTTATTCATAATGAACGTTGATATGATATAACTATCACTAAATTGTTCGAACTACCCCGCTTTTTACCGATATAAAAGAAGTAACAATTTGAAGGTAAAGTTGAGTATGTAATTACTGTCAGATCAGCGGTTCATTAGCAATAATCCTGGAATATCGGATGCTAATGAACGACCTTTCAATTCAATCGTGAAGAAATAAACTCTGAAAATTACGAGCAATTTCGAGCTTTTACTGTTACTTTTTAGAGAATAACAAAAGACGAATGTCGTTCGGCTATAGATGTCGACCGTCTTTTGGAGCCACCTTATATGTTGGTTGAACGTTCTGACGATCTTATAGATGGCGTCTTCAAGAGGGGAGATCATTGCCTTCCTTACTCAGACTCCTTCAAGGTTAATGAAACCTGTGGCAGGCCGAGACAGCTGGATCACGAATGATTTTTTTTTGGGTTGTGGTTTCAACTAGTTACCTTGCATTGAAAGCTGTAGAGAAAAACTAAAGATGAAACTCGTAATGGACCGCTTTTGGGAGCCTCGTTTATTATACTGAATCTATACTAACGTTGCAAAAAAGTATTAGGAATATAACTATATTATGAAAAAAAAAATCAGATTTTGTACTTTGTACAGTGTCACTATTTTTCGGTTTTGAAGGGCGTTGATTTTTGACGCGAGTGGATAGCTTCTTCAGAGGTTTATACATCATAATCTCCGATGACTGGAAATAATTTAGTGGAAATCACTGTTCTAAAAACAGTTATTTCCACTAAACTTCTTTCTAAGTAATTTCATGGTAACTAATAGAGGTAACAGCCCACAGTTCCAGAGATATTTTAATTTTTATATAACATATGAGTACTACTAACATATGAATTCTACATTTTTGATATCACATTTTGGAAAATCAGTGCCTTCTGCATGAAAAATAGAGAAACTTTTCTGTAGAGAATTTTAAAGTATACAAAAAAATTGATAACTGATTTTTTCGTTATAGAAATAGTTGCATGAGAAATAAAGCTTTTTTTCACTATGGATTGTCTTCTACTTTTCAGGTAATGTTCTCCACAATGAAATAACAATTCAAGTATGAACGAGTCAGCAAGGATTTTAACTGTAGCAAAATTACATATTTCAACTGTTATATTTCAATTAAGTGTCAATTTATCCATTAGCCATTATTATTCAATCATCTGAACGTATATGCCACCTCTGGAAAAATATACACTGAATTGCGACAAATCTGAACTTTCAACACTTTGCCGATGATGTGGACAATAATAATTTTGTCATTACTCATATTCTTCATTCAGTGGTTGACTGTTGTTCCTAAAAACGAGTTTCTTCAACACTGACACTTTTATAACTATCGTCTGTATTTCCCCATAAGTCAAAAATTAATATTTTGTTAGCGATTATAAAATAATATATCTTTTTCTATTTCAGAGACATTCTTAACAAGAAGCTTAATTGGGAATTTAGGGCCGGAACCAGCGAGGTGCATGAATTTGCAGCGACGCCAGCCCACCTGTTATAGGTGAGTTAATATGCAATTTAAGAACATAGGCTTTCACGGCCTGAGTCACGATTAAAGAGAACAAAACCTGACCTTGGTAGGCCGTGCTCGAATAGAACCCGAATTATAAAACCTTTCTTCTGCTACTGCGGCAGCCATCATCAGAGGTATATTCGTTGACTTTCGAAATATAACCTTCTTCCTTGTAGACAACGCATATACCACCGGTGATGTCTGCTACTTCTCTCAATACAAAGTGCATTTCTTTAATGCCCCCCTCTTTTATTTTCTGAACGGATCAACTCAAAACATTGAAATTTGGGATAATGAAATTAATGCATAGATACTTTGTTTTGAAGTGAAATTGACAGATGAAACTTTCAAGATGGCGACTGGGCGCCATGTGGGAAAAAAATTAAATGGAAAGGGGGGTCTTGTGACATATCATTTTGAAGCTCCTGACGAATACCTCACAACCCTAATATGAAGTCAATATCTTCACATACTACAAAATGGCGGAACATTTAGTAATTTCCTGAAGATAAACACATTAATATCGATATTTCTAGAAATATTCCTTTTTATTTGCCATATGGCAATTCCAACAACACGATAAGGTTTGTTAAGTTATTTTATGTTTATAAAAATGACAAAAAATGTCAGTACGACAATGAACATCATTGTTCACTTAGAATATTCTCATTTACTAGTAGAAAAGTACCACGTCAACAATCTCTAAAATGGTTAATTCTCGTCCATTGGAAGAAAAAATTGAAGCGATTTTTATTTACGGTGCGACGCATAACTTTCACGAGACCGAAAGGATTTTCAATGAACGTTTTCCGAATCGTCCTATCTGTAGAAAATATTTGAGGGAACTTGTATCCAAATTCACAACTACCGGTAGTGTACATAACAAAAAGCCCCCAGGTCATCCGTCCATTCCGGAAGAACAGCAAGTGCAAATAATTGGTGAGATGGTATAAATCCTGAACAGTCTACTTATTCCGTCGCGAATGTTTGTGAGGTGTCTCCTTCTACTGTGTAGAGACTTTTGAAGAGGATTGGTATCATCCATACAAAATTAAAATGGTACACCAATTAACTGAAGATGACCCTGATTCAAGAACAGAATTCTGCGAAATCATGATGGAAACCATTGCAAGGCATCCGTCCTATCTCCACAATATTTGTTTTAGTGACGAATGTACATTTTTTTCAAACGGCAATGTTCACAGACAAAATTGCCGTTATTGGAGTGACACCAACCCTCACCTTTTCAGGGAAACACACACCCAATATCCACAAAAAATTAACGTTTGGGCAGGAATATTGGGAAACCATATTGTAGGACGTCTATTTATTGATCAAAATTCAACAGGGAAACTGTATTTGAATATGCTGGAAACTACTGTTGACCCTCTCATCACTGAAATCGTCGAAGCGAATCCTAATGAATTCGATATGGATATTGTATTCCAACAAGATGGAGCACCACCACATTACTACAGACAAGTAAGAAACTATTTGGATACTATTTTTTCTGGTCGTTGGATTGGCCGTCGAGGTCCTACAGAATGGCCAGCCTGCTCGCCAGATTTGACACCATTGGACTTTTATGGGGCTATTTGAAGCAAAAGGTGTACAAAACTGAACCTGCTTCAATATTGGATATACGGCAGAGAATAATAAATATTTGTAGCGATATTGACGTTACTGTGTTCGAAAATGTTCGGGGGAAATATCGGATAGGCTGTTCATGTGCAAGAAGTTCTAGGCAATAATTTCGAGCATCTTTGAACTGACCTCAAGCTTATTACCTCACATTATGTAGTTGAATGTCAATGTATTCAGGCAATTATTTAAAATTCCGCCATTTTGTAGTAGTTGAAGATATTGACGTTATATTCTAGGGTTGTGAAGTATTCGTCAGGAGCTTCAAAAAGATGTGTCACAAGACACCTCTTTCCATTTAATTTTTTTCCCAGATTGCGCCCAGTCGCCATCATGAAAGTTTCATCTGTAAATTTCACTTTAAAATGAAGTATTCCTGCATTAATTTCTTTATCCCAAATTTCAATTTTTTGAGTTGATCCGTTCAAAAAATAAAAGGGGGGGACATTAAAGAAATACACTGTATAATTCATAATTAGTAAAGAACCTCAGAATGTTTCTTTCAAATTATCAAAATTTAATAATCATACACTGTTTAGTCTCGTCTACTTTTTTGTAGATGAGATGAGTTACAGATTCATTATATTGGGATCAAACTATTCAATCACCTGCCAGCTTAAACTAGAGACATAAGAGTTTGTTATATTTTACCTCCTCATTTTATGTTATTGTATTTGTTCAACTTACTTGTGTGTTTTATATGTTATTTGGTGTGAAACATCCATAACCGCACCTAAAGCCGATTGCTGGCGTGGCGACGGGTCGCCATGTGCAAGCGACTGTGCGATTTATGATGGGGAATCAGCCGATACTTCATGATGAAAATCCATAACGTATTCAAAAAACACTTCATTGTGAGATTTTCAATAAACAGTTTTACAAAAACGCAACACATGTTTCGCCATACAATGGCTTTTTCAGGCGTGTTAGTACACACGTAATCAGATTAAACTGTTTATTATTGTTCATATTGATTGAAGTTTTTTTTTTTTTTCATTGAAACATTTGATGCCAATATAATTTGGTGTGCTTTTACCCTAGATAATCTCGAGAGAAGTTCGTGAATGTTTTCTTTTTGATGTAGTCCTGGTCCTAGGTTCTTGGCCTTCTCACAGTTCACTGTCGCCTGAATCATCATATGCAGAAACTCGGGCTGTCGGAAGACAGTGTGTGTCGCCACTGTTTGGCTGTTTGGAAAATGATGAAACAGCAGAGCATATACTTTGCCTGCCCCGCTGCGGACCGAATAAGGTTTTCAGAGTTTGGAAGAACCACACTTCTACCATTTGAAAGATCACACACCATATAAACTAATTGGCTTCGTCAAGAAGCTGTGTTTATTTGGTCGAATTTGAATAGGTGTGAGCCACAATAAACCCTTTCGGGTTGCGGTGGAGGGTTGAATAGGCCCACTCTCTTTTGAGTTAACCTAGGTTCTGACAGTCACATATGATTCAAGAATAATTACACCTAGATGTTGATTTCCGCGGGGGTTTTAATCGCGGCCCTGGCCACATACCTAGATGGGTGCGAGATTTCTAGAGCTTTTATATATATTTTTTTTATCATGCAATAGGTGGGACATTGAGAATAGGTTGAATACAACATTGGGATTGAAGACTCTTGTGAGTCATATATACGTCGGCATAGTTGTTTCAAACATTTTCGGCGTGTATTATTTCGTGCTAGCAGATTATTCTTTTGCCAACTACAATTCAATGTTGACCGCTGGGTTGTATAACGTTCAAGGTCCTTGTATGCACTACATATGATTGGAATCTGGGATCTACCAATGAACACGGAAGTGGATTTCTGACCACACGGTCTGTAATGTGAAATATATGTTACTTTCTCCAACTAGCCAGACATGAATTTCACCTCGTGATTATGAAATTTGATATTGAAATGCCAGAAAGATTTAGAAATGGATGATGCCCCAACTACGCATCACCTCGTTTACATCAGCCAACAGCATGTATACTCCGAAAGAAGGAGCAATTATTATATGATGATATAAGATGATCGTCGTCGTCTGCGTAATTGTAAAATAATTAAGGAATGATAAGGTGGAGAGAGGAGTAGACAATACCCCAACCACACAGTGTCCTGTGTACACCAACCAACAGTGTCCTATGTACACCAACCAACAGTATGTGTACTCCTAGGAAAGGATAAGGGATGATAGGATCAGTCTATGACGATAGTGGTGGACTATTTTCTAGGAGGATCGGTGAAGGAAGAGGATCAGGAGGATATTTATCGTCAGAACCGCCATCGTCCGTCTTCCTATGAAATAAGTCCCATCTAACAGATGGCTCCTCATAATCCACACCTCGACATCATCCCACAGGTCATCAATGAGGTCAGCCTCCGAAACAGGATCCGCTTCATTGTAATTGGGATCCAAGAAGTCGTCTTCGGAAAGGTCCGCCTCATCGCTGCCGGTAAGGTGCAGCACCTCCTATCAGATCACGTCCGGGCTGTTCGTTATAATGAGGCTCTGTGGTGGAATTCACATCGTCTTCTCCGATAAACCAGTCGTTAGGCGACCTTCTGGGCTCCGAATATGCATAAGGCTCAGTGGTGTAATACGCTTCTTGGTATGATGCTGCCATGTTGAAGATAGCTGATATTTTGAATATACATACTTTTATACTCTTGAGAAGGAGTGGGGAGGAAGTGGGATGAAATTATTATTTCCGTCAATGATACACTTTGCGTTTTGTTGAATATGTGTATCAAGGAAAGTACATGGTGATGTAATCACCCAATTGGTGTTTTTTCCTGGAAACCGAAGGGAAGCTGATAGTGCCCCAACTACGCATTGCCTTGTGTACACCAACCAACTCACGTGTACTCTGTGAAAAAAAGGAGGTGAGGAAGGAAAAGAAACGAGGGTTATGTTTCCACGTCGTCAACTCCCTTCTTGAGCCGCTCCTGGAGAACGTTCACGTCGTCATTCATTCCGTCGACCAATTCACTGAAATATCCTCAACGTAGTTACTCCTCATCGACTACGACGATTTCTCGACCATTCTCCTTGAGGCTGATCTCCAACTCCGCCAGTTCAGCCAACAAACGCCCTTCCTTTCGACTATCTGTGCCCGTCGCTTACGTGTGGCAACCTCCGCCAATCTTCCATCACTTTCCGGACAGTCACCAACTTTGTCTCTTCCTCTCTCAGCAAATTCTGAAATTCTGCAGAGTTCGTGAAAGTCCTCGACTAAATCCGGTACCATAGTACCGGCTTGTGGCTGGTCACGTGGCTGCTTTTTCAGCTTGGTCGTGGTGGTGGTATCCAACGTGGAGGGGACTCGCCAGATGGTCAAACGTTTTATCACTGTAAAACTCTTGTTTTGGTGGCCTAACCTTGAATTTTATCATCATTTTATCGTTTTGAACAGAATAATCTATGAAAATTATCTTCGATTTTTTTTTCATTATCACTTCGTGATACACTTATGCATTGATAAAATTCATCTCCATATTCAAAATTTCTTAAAAATTATACATAAGTATTACTCAATCCAGAATATCCTGATCACACATACATCAGAATTAGAAAAAGAATAAAAAAAATCAACAAATATATATTTTATTTGAAATGAAAGAACTTTATGTTTTGAACTTCTTTAGATTTTAAATTGCAGTACTTTTTTAAAAACACCTAATTTTCAAGAGTCGTGCTAGATCTTTCAATTTGATACAAAGAAAATATGAGTAGGAAACAAAGAGTGAGCTGGACATTAAAAAAAATTATCTCTCAATAAAGTATGACCGAATATGAATTATCTATGAAATTATCTAGAAAATAAAAAATCGAGATTCACATATTTCGAAATCTAACTTTTTAAAAGGGGAGTTACAGAGGAGGAGATAAAAATAAAATATTAATATATATTGATAAACCAGCTATTGTCGATAAATCAAGTACAAAAAACTTATGCTTCCTTTTCTTTCTTTATTCCATCACTAGCAATAGTAAAAACTAGGTACAATATCTAAAGGTAATGACTGGAATTTTTTGTGAAACTTTCGACATTATTTCCCAATTTTTTTCAACATTGGAAATATTGGTAATCCCAATAGTAATGTTTGTGTATAATTTGATTGATAACAATGTGAAAAATAAAGTTGTTTTATTTTGCAGGACTACAAAATTTTCTTCTAATAGACATCGGAAACTCCAACCATTCAGAGAAACGTGACTGGCTACTGAAACATCATTCCAATTAAAGAACATACAACCATTAAGATCAACACTGGATGCCATTCAACTCAAAACAACTCTAATTATTTTATTCGTAAAGTTCATCGGCAGCAATCATCATGAGTGTTAACGTAAATAGAAACGTTAGTGATGTCTTCTACCGCTACAAGATGCCACGGATCATGGCCAAGGTGGAAGGTAAGGGAAACGGTATCAAGACTGTCATCGTCAACATGGTAGAGGTCGCTAAGTCCCTTGGCAGGCCACCTACCTACCCTACCAAATACTTTGGCTGCGAGCTAGGGGCTCAGACCCAATTCGATTTCAAAAATGAGCGGTTCATCGTTAATGGTTCACACGACGCTTCCAAGCTGCAGGATCTTCTCGACGGGTTCATTCGCAAGTAAGTGTCACCTCGATGCATTCACATTTTTCCAGTTCATAAACCAAAGATGTTCTAATTATATCAGGAAGTAAGTATATGGATAATTCAAATCATCTGAAGGAACAATTTGTTCAGGCCAGTCTCAACTCCCTACACTGTAGGTTAATGGACCGACACCTATCAGAAAACAACGTCTCCCCTGGCTAATACCACGAAGGACATTGGATTATATACGATATGTATCGGTCCATTAACCTACAGTGTAGGGAGTTGAGACTGGCCTGAATAAATTGTTCCTTTAGATGATTTGATTTATAGCCAGTCTTCAAGTATGCCCGATGACTATATGTGAATATGGATAATTGTTTTTTCGTACCCATTTCACAAAATATAGTAATCATAGAAAAGTGATTAAACTCAATGAGTCTCAGAATACATTATGAACGAGCTGAAGTATTATAAATGACCTTGTCCTTGACCTTGTCAAAAGACAAAATAATTTCAGGGTACCAGTTTGGTTTTCAGGTAGGAAAAATGCTAATGACACTATATTTATTTTTCCACACAATAGCATGCAGCATTTTTCTGCAATTTCTCAAAACCCTTTGTCTATGTTGATCACAAGATACTGTTCTAAACTTCACCACTGGATATAGTTTTCTCATTCAGAGCACTCCAACTCTTTGTACATCAAATCTACCGTCTGTGGGGTGCCACAGGATTCATTAATGACACCTTCGTTTCTTATCATATATCCATAATCTCATCAGCACTGACATCAACAGAACTGAGAAAACAACTAGTTATTAGGTTCGTTCCAACCAGCGTCAGAAACAGTTTCTGACAGTCAGGATTTCCAACGTGAGTTTCCAACCATTAGTAAACTATCAGGTTTCTGTTCCATCCAAGATTCAAACCTGTTCGAAATCTATGGTTTGAGGATTATCTTCTAACCATCAATCTGACGCATGCATATTCCGTATTACTGTTTCTGTTTTATGTTCATGCAACTTACAAACAACATAACCTGCAAAAATTGTTATAAAATAAATTATGTATTTGCTGGCGCAGGAAAAATTAGGAATTCTTTAAGTGAACCTAAAATATGAACATCTTTAATTACACAAATTAATTATTGCGGTGACCTCCCAGTTCCATGTTGATTAGTAAATAGAATAGAGATATAAAATACTGCAACCTTCTTTTACTCTCCAGAAATACACTTGATTAGATTTATTTTTAAAGAATTGAAGGGGTTATATTTTTAGGAGTGACATTCGTTGTGAAATGTTTGAAATACAAACTGAGTAGAGAAAAATATCTTCTGTATAATTCAGTGTTCATATAGAAGTATTTGTTTCGAAAGAATTTTTTTTTCTTTCGTGTAATTCAATGTTTATATGAAAGTAGCTGTTTCAGGAGGACATTCTTCCAGTTTGTGTCTGAAAGTTACTTCTTTGCATAATCTACACATCCATGTATAGAGTTACTTATTTTCAAATTGATTACTTCCTTCCTTTCTTTGGAAGATTCCCTCATCCCCTTTTTTTGTATCAAGATGGAGTAGTAGAAAGACAAAAACTTTCTTTCCCAAATTATTTTTAAAGGTTATGTTGAAATTCCATGCCAAACTTCAGTTGAACTATCAGCTGTTCCAATCAGAAATTTCAAATTAATCAGAAACCAATATTTACCAGACATGTGCGTTGACAATGATTTACAAACAGTTGGAAACCTGTTTGTGACTCAAGATTGGAACGAACCTATTATGTCCTAAGTTATAAATGTATCTAAGCAGGACCCGAGTATTGGTATCGAAGGAAATGTCACTGTCTTTGCTGATGGCAGATCATGGTGTGGAAAAAATATAACTCCATTTAAGAAAACTATTAATAATGACATTGAAGCATTAAAATTATGGTGTGACTAACCATCTGGCTTTGAACATATCCAAAAGTAATATTTTATCATATCACACGTTAAAAGGTAAGACCTCGTTAATCCTTAGCTCGCACAACTTCTGAGGGTTGTCGTTCGTAAGGGTGCGACAGCTGGTTAACGGAAAAACAGATTTTAAACAGATTGAAGTCTGATTTAGGAGATCTAAACGTAGGCCTTGAAACCATTACAAACTGTTCTGCTGCAAAAGTTCCAGGAGTAATTTTTAACAACAAATTGAAATTTGATGATCATATCACCGATATGAATAAAAAACTTGTCTGTTGATATTTTCATTGAGGGTGGTGGTGAATCACTTCTGAACTAAAATCACTTTTTCCTATTCAGTTTGTATTCCAAACATTTGTTTGGAATCGAATGGAATGGAATTGAATCAGATATCATTCATAGGAATGCTACACAAAAACGAATCTCTCTTAAAAACATACCCCTTTTTTAAAACTAACCTTAAAATGTAAATGTTGTCATGAAGTTTCAAAGTAAGTGTATGTGGTTTGTTCTTTCCTCGGAATTGAAATGTAATCTTTGGCGGTTGTTATAATCCTTGGCTGCGCCAACCTCATCCGTTATTTGATACATATCGGCCTTGTAACGTTAATAACTAGATCCATAAGCTGTCTGTAATTTTTATTATTATTTGGCAATATGCTTACATTTGCTACTTTAATATTAGATTTTATTTTTATTTAGCGACTTCATTAGCAAGAAATGATTCTCATATCAATAAAGCATATTTTGATTCTAAACTTATTACAGGTTTGTGCTTTGTCCGGAATGTGATAATCCAGAAACTGATTTGATAGTATCTCTGAAGAGAAACACCATTTCTCAAGGTTGTAAAGCTTGTGGATACCACGGTGTGCTGGAATCCAACCACAAGTTGATGACTTTCATTCTGAAAAATCCGCCTAATTTCAATCCTGCGAGTCAGGGATCTTCTTTGACTGAGGGAAAAAGATCTAAGCGGAGCAAGCGTAATGGAGAATCGAATGGAGACCAAGAGGAACAAGATTCTGCTCTTGATTCGTCAGTTTCTGAAAAGCCTGATGTGAGTGCGAACAATTTTTATTGAATTATAATAAGATAAAGAGTTTGAAGACTAACTTTTTCAGTCACACAAAAAATCTTTGACATTTCATAGTATATAAGAGGTACTCTTTAACACTGAAGTTTAAAAAACATCACTTTCTAACAAGATTTTTGAGATAAATGTAATAAAAAAATGGCATTTAAAATTGAAGAAAAGAACTCCCAAGTTATCAAAAAATGGTTCGATGACAATTTCGAAATAACAAAATATATTCCTTTCGTTTATTATAAAAATCATTGATCAATCAACAATTCTGTTCAATTGTATGAAATCCTCACTAATAAATACTTAGGAGTAATGATAGTTTAATCACAATTATATTCTAAAATTTTACCTTAGGTAGGTGCAGGAGAATATTTACTATGAGACAATCATTTTGAATATTTTTAAATTCAATAATAGAGAAAGTATTGAATATAGTGAACAATATGCCACCAGAAATAGATATAATACGCTTTTATCGCCCATTTTATTGATTTTATAATAATGCATTTTTTATTAACCTTCACTCTTCACTTTTATTATTTAGTAGCAGAAGGTTTTATCTTTGTAACTCTGAACAAGATTTTCTTTATTCCTGACTTGTCATAAATGTACTGTAGAATGTAAAATTGTCAAATAAAATACTCTTCTCTATTCTATATCACTGAAATATAAAGTAAATGAATTGAATTTTTTTTTTATTATCTTTTCCGACAGATATTGAAATTAGGTCATTCATTGATCAACAGAAAAACAGATTCTAAACAGATTTAGTCCAAAAAAGTAGATTGTTGCATCTTGAGAATTGATTATATTGTTTTTATTTCGAGATTTCTTCAATATGAAATAAACTCAAATGTACATTTTTTTCAGGTCGTTCTTGATTTTAGTCTATCTTACAAATCTCATATGGATACCTATTACAAAAATATGCAAAGTAGAGTTTAACTAGTTTTATAATTTCTTCATATATAAACATGTACGCTTATGTAAAAAAAAAGTGGATATTGAGAATAATATTTAAAAAAAACATGAGGTATTCATCGAATCTACTTTATTCCGAAAACTATATATTTGATATCAGACAAATATTCTGCCAAAGAATAGTAACTTGTATAAATAAAAACCGAATTTCTCTTCAATCCATTGAGCATACATATAATACAAGAACGAAGATAAATTTAAAAAATGTTCCGTGCCGTGAAAAGAGTATTGGGCAACGTTCCGTAGAATTCTTGGCTCCGAAAATATTCAATTTGCTACCAGATGAAATAAGTCATTAAAAATTATTTTTCTTTCAAGTGACATGTAAAAACATGGATAAACAGAACTGGTAGAATAATTTTCAACAATGTTATCAACCTGAAATTTTTGAAATAGCTTATGATTGCTTTTGCTGAATTGTTCCGATATTGTCACACTTACCCAATATAGACTTTGAAACACGGAATTGATATATTTACACTAATTTGACGCATTTACCTTATTGTGACCCTTTACTTGATATGGACTTCCCACCTAGATTATGTTACAAATTTACTTCTCTGTATTTATATATATTTTCTTATACTTTCATATATCACGCACAAGCATTTTTGCTTCAGTGATTAGTATGTTTGTTTTCAAAAATTGTTTTAATTTATAAACGTGTTGTAATTTGTGTTTTATCAAAAATAAACATTATTATTATTATTATATTATTCTGCAGATGACAATATACATAACATAAACTATCTCTCAAAAAAACTCTAGAAATACTGTTAGTATTGAGGTATTATTGAAGGCATACTTTGCAGTGTTTCAGAAACTAAAAGAAGATGCTAAGATAAAGTTTACTGAACCAGATATCTTGATTGTTTCATCACACTACTTTTAAGAATGTTTAAATGGGTAATATGAGAATAAGTATCTATATAGTTAGTATCGTTCACGTAATATTTGCCAAAACGATAATATTGTTTTACAATATAGCCAATAGAAAAAAAATCAGAAAATATAAAAACTATTATGGTTTAGTATTTTTTAATATGATCTGTCAAATGCATTTTCATTAAAAGCTTCCTCAAGACAATATAATCCTTATCAGGTGAAGATGTTCTTGAACATATTTGTAAAAATGCAAATTGTTTTTGTAGTATATAAGCACAACATCAAACTTCAATAAAGTATACTATTCTTGTCTTTCCTATAAAGCTGATGTGTTCTATGATACGGTGCCCAAAACCCTATATTTTCTCTCTTCAAAACCTGAAATTATTAGTAATTTTATTGCCCATCTCACCTATTGATAAACATTGGCTCTCTGTATTTATAGGTTGGAAGTGATGATGATCAAACAGAATGGGCAGTGGATGTGTCTGAAGAAGCGGTAAGAGCGAGAATGCTGGATTTGACTGATGGAGCTAAAAATATGACTATCAGCGATGACCTTGAGAAATCCGAGAAAGAACGTATGGACATTCTCTACAACATGGTCAAGTCGAAGAGAGACAGCGGAATTTTGGATAACACCAACACCCAGAAGGAAATTTTGAACGAAGCAGAGCGTCTCGAGATTAAGCAAAAGGCCCCGCTCATTTTGGCCGAGTTATTGTTTGATCACAACATCCTTGTGCAAGCAAAGAAATATCGTTTGCTGTTCCTTCGTTTCACTTTGAATGAGAAAAAAGCTCAACGATATCTGATGGGCGGTCTGGAGCAAGTTATTGCTTTACATCGCGATAAACTTATGAGCAAGGTCCCTGTTGTTCTCAAGGTGTTCTACGATATGGATATACTTGGAGAGGAATGCATCATCGAGTGGTCTGATAAAGTAAGTTGATTTATGACTAGTGAAAATTATTTACGAGAAATAATATACTCCGAAAAATTTCATTTAAAGACAATAAAAGTTGAAGGAATTTTGATTGTGCTCAAAAATAAGTACGTGTTTGATTCCAAAAAACGATTCTTATCATTAAAAAGGCAATGTTCAGATCATTATTGCAATCTCCATGTAATCTCCGGTTAGCGTGAGTGGTTTGTTACAGTCATTAAATTGGTTTTCATTGCATATCGTCCAAACAGCACTATGAATTGCACGTTAACAGGTAAGACCTCGTTAATCTTTTGCTCGCACAAGTTTGGACTTTTGAAAGTTGTCAATTGAAACTTCACTGCTTCTGAGTTCTGCACAAAAAGATGCCTTGGATTGAACGGCTACCTCAACTGCTATCTGACAGATTTTATAGGAGAAACAGAAATATTTTACATGTTGAATTGATTGATTCCACATTGTGAGACAATCGTTTCTTTTTTAAACGTAAATGTGGAGTCTAGTAGTTTTACAATAATTACGAGACAATTTGTTATTATCCATACTCTTATCAGTAATTCTTAACTCTTCAAAACAAACACTTTTCCCAATCAACATAAATGCAATTCATATGTATACTGTTTCCAAGATAAGAGGCTTTCCATAGAAAAATTGGAAACCATGAGAGATGAAATCAAATAAAAAAATGTTTTATTGTCCCTCATGAAATCTTATTGACAAAGCATGTTATGTAAAATTAACATATACCATCATATGTAAATGAATATATACAAACAAAAAACTAACGTACATATAAATTAGGGCATAACATACCATCACTAATATTCCTTCAGGTCATATAAGAGACCATTTGTAGGAGTAACTTCGCCTTACATATAAATATACATACATATAATACATATACATATATTACACACACATATATTATTAAATGAAGGAAAGAGAAATGAAACTTTCTATGTTTTTTTACAATTTTTATTTGTAACTAACGTTACTGCAGTTTCGTCCTATACGGACATTTTCAAACTGCAGTTTGAGTGGTAAAGTGGTAAAAAACATAGAAAGTTTCATTTCTCTTTTCTTCATTATGATTTCCTACCATGTAGTAACGGGTACATCCATCTATTTACAATATTACATATTTACAGATAACGTATGATATCATTACAGCATGTGTTTAAATAACAAAAGTGATCTTGCTTATAGATCATATACTTTATATCGTAGGATGAATAGTCAAACAGCACTTACACTGGTATAAGGCTATTCATGTATGTTGATTTATAAATCAACATAAATAATAAACATATGATTTTCCAAAACACAAAAAATAGTTTGAAATCCTTGAAATACAAAGTTGGTTGAATCAGGAATAGGAAATTTATTTTAGAGTTTATTCAACTGAAGTTTTGAAATTTAGGGAATTCCAATTCTGTCTGTTGAAATCTATTCTTCCGTTAAGCAACTGTCGTCCACTTATGAAAGACAACACTCAAAAGTTTGAAATTGTGCGAGCTAAGGACTAACGAGGTCTTACCTTTTAACGTGTGATTCTTATCATTGGTTACGGACATGATAGATATGAATGGAAATTCGTCAGTTTTATTTTAATTTTTACTTAGCGTTATTTGAAAAGTTATTGAGAAAGCAAAAACACCTTTTCATTGCCACTTTCCATCTTGTGAAAAATGCCGTTTAGAAATTTTCAACCTGACGTTTTATCTTCGAGAAACCATCACCTGTTTTGATATTATTACATAGTCTAAAAAAAAACACCCGGTATAATTGAGCTTTTTTGGTGGCATAATGTCACATATTGATTTGATGATTTCCATTTAAGGTATCCAAAAAATATGTTGCGAAAGAGGTCAGTCAAGAAATTCATGACAAGGCGTCTCCTTTCGTGAAATGGTTGAAAGAAGCGGAATCCGAAGAATCGGATGACGCAGAAAATAGCGATGAAGACGACGACGACGTTGAGATAGTGTACAACGATCGCGCCCAAGTACATTTGAAAGCAACTCCTCAGCCAAAGCCGAAGGAGACAGAAATAGAAGATGATGGACCGGATGATGTTGACATCGATGCCATTTAGTTTATTTGATGATGTTAGTTATATTACGAGAGTGTTCTATCTATCCAGTCTTTGATTCACTTGGTAAAGTTCTAACACTCATTCTTCAATTACTTGTTATTATTGTTTTCAATTTTCCAATGTAATTTTATTTACTCTCCACAAATTATGCAATATGCGGTGAAATATAAACATTTTCCTACTTTATAATGTTTTTATATTGTTAGTATTGAAAATTTTATAGAAGATACTATGTATACTTTTATGGCTGTCAAGAGCGTATTCACGGATATCCAAGTTTATCCTTTCAATGTCAGTAAAAATATGAACATAAATGTTTGTTTTATTTATTTCTGGAGATTATTTCGCTTAAGAAAAACTATTGATCACAAATCTGAAGTCAAAATGTGGCGCTGTCGTCCATTTTCGGAGATATGCGGTCATGTAACGTCAGGAAATTAACAATGGGCTCATTCAGGCTAATTCAGTTTTTTATTGAAAAGTATGTATTATAAAAGTAAATCATCTTCCAAGTATCCCACAAAATTTTCAGGTTTATATGTCAATTAACAACTGAGCAAGAGCAATTGAAAATGTGAATACATCGCCTGCAGTACATCGTGACGTCACACCAGGCAAACGAGCTACGAGCGGTGGCAACCGGGCCTGTAGTTGGAGATTATGAATCGCTGCTATATTCAATTCAATTTTCTTCAAAGTAATGTATATATCAATTCTGGGTAACTGGCATTTTTGAGACAAAAGTTCTCTAATAAATAAAAAGTACCTTGGGATTCCAAGACATAATTTCGGATTTTTCTCTATGACGTAAATAGATCTTCGCTCAATATTGTTTTTCGAATTCCAGTTTTCAACTAATGTTCCAGACAAAGTAGAATCTGATGATTTATCAAAAGAAGTCATGTCTGATGTACTCAAACTCTCACTGTCCTCGGGGGAACTTGGTAGTAATTTTTTCCAATACTTTCTGTATTTTCTATTTCTTTAGAACGATTTCTTTTTCGGTGATATATAATATTTACGGTCTGTTTAGCTCTTAATCTTCGAAAAACCTGTTAATTAACTTGAATTCCAACATCAAAGGTCTTTGTTTGAAGGTGATTGACAATGTTTCATGATGAGTTTCACTAGTTCGGACTTCCATTGTCTACTATATAAAATGATTTGAAATCCCTGAAACAACTAAAAAAAAAAGAATTAAAAATGAATAGCTGAAAATAAGAATTATATTAACCAAAATAAACCAGAAATGAAATAATAGTGAAATAAAATACAAGTAAAAATAGAACAATTGAATAAATAAAAATGAAGAAATGAAAAAAAATGAAAAGTGGAGAGATTCCAAGTCACGTTAGTTCACGACGGAATGGCTACTCCAAAGCGATGGTAGAAAAGACTTTGGCTAAAAGACAGCAGGAGCCTCGCAAGGAAGAGAAGCCGTCACAACCAGTGCTTGCACTTCCCTACATCAGAGGATTATCGGAGAGGATAAGAAGAATTGGTTCCAAGTACAACATCAGAACCTGCTTCAGATCCGGTAACACTATCCGTAGCAGCCTCGCGAAAACCAGGCCACCAAACGCGGACTGCGATTCCAAGAATTGCATTTACCGGATACCCTGTGAGTGCAGAAAATCCTATATTGGTGAAACTAAGAGGCCATTGAATGTTCGCATTGCCGAGCACAAGAAACACACACAGCGAGGGGAAACCAGCAAATCAGGAATAGCAGACCATGTTTGGACCCATCAACACAACATCGAGTGGTCCCAAGCTGAGATCTTGCACAGAGAGGAACATTGGCTTAGGAGAAAATTTAAGGTAGCCGCATACATGTTGTCCAACAACGTATACAGCCAAGCCAGCGTAGAAATACGTAACATATGGAAACCCATCATCAAACGTAAAATGGCCAACTCCCGCCAAACGGTCATCTCCCGAGGAACCAGTGAAGGGGAAAATGGAAAGCGGGGATAAGTGAAAGTACTCGAACGACCTATAAATAGTCATCTCTCGGAGGAATCAGTCCAGTCATCACCCGAAGACGATTGTAGATACTAACAATCGAAACGTCGTGAACTATTTATTTTCTTTTGTCATTTCTTTATTTTTGTTCAATTTTTCTATTTTACTTGTATTTTATTTCACTATTATTTCATTTCAGGTTTATTTTGCTTAATATAATTGTTATTTTCAGCTATTCATTTTTAATTCTTCTTTTTTAGTTGTTTCAGGGATTTCAAATCATTTTATATAGTAGACAATGGAAGTCCGAACTAGTGAAATTTATAGATTACTACTCTGGACCTACCAAGTAATAAAAGATCTAACAATTCCATTGGAACCTATCAATAACATTCCGATTACTACAATCAGCTGCAGACATTCAATTTGTTGGGAGTAACGTAATCAGAAACGATCTTGATGTTTTTGAAAGAGTACAGGAGTCGATGAGGAGAATATTGGATTCTTACATTTTGGAGTCGAGGTAATTGAAACATTAGTGTGGTTAATGTCTAAAAGATGGATGGCAATATAATCGATCTCTGAAACAGCCACCCTGTATTGCAGGAAGGTCTAAATTTCCATTTCACAATTTTTTCTCAAAATTTATTATATTTATTCAAAGTAGCTGAATCTTCCTGAAACTTTTTATAGAGCAATAATTCCTTGCCCGAAACAAGGGTAGATTACCTGAATAGAAAATTATTTTCGTTTCACCATCAATACCGACTTGTTTTTCGAAAACTGAAAATTTAATATCCTCTTATACTTAATCATCCCCTTAAAATATTTAAGAACACCATATAGACCACATAGAATTTATTCACGAGTTACAAATCCTCAAAGAGGGGATTTTTGGGCATAACATAAAAGATTTCGAAGCACCTTTGCGCTTGAAATGTATTTCAATTTTTGTAAAAGTTTATATAAAATCGGAATAGACGGATCTTGATAAATTTTTTAAAAGGAATTCACACATTCAGAATTGAATATGAATTGAATTGAGAAAATAATTACCTATATAGGTTGGAAATTTCAAAATGAACCATTCTTTCCGTGTTTTCAACTCCAAAATTGTGCAATGCTTTGTATCTACATCATTTCAATCACCGTATTTTCGTCGACAGCAGTCGATAAAAACAGATGATTAATTATTTTCACACATCTGGTCTAATGTTTGGCAGTAGAAATGCATATCAATGTTTTGGGTAAAAAAAAGTAATTTTTATTATATTTCATCTGTGGTGTTACTACTACCGAAAAGCTGCTCAAATCAGTGAAGTATCTAGTAAGTTGAATGCAACAATCAGATCCCAACAATCTTAAATGCTTTCGATTCTTGACCTTATATGTTATTAGTTGTATCAGTAGAATGCTCAAAATCAATACATATAGTAAAAGTGCAACCCAAAAACTGAGGTCCTTCTAAACGAAGTCGCAGACAACAGTTAGTAGGTTCAATAATTGATGTAACTAAAATTTTGCAACTACATCTTTTCGTACGCAGACGTATTTCTTTTTACCTCCGCAGACACTGGTCTGTAAAGGTGTACCTATATTAATACCTAAGAAACTTTATATTCTACTCTATTTTCAATATCTATCCACAATATCAAAATCACTATATCTCTGAATATTCACAGAACCATCAATCGCCTCTTTTCGATCCAACAACTCCACGGAGGCAGCTACAGCTACCTGTTTACAATTCCCAAATCAACTTTTTCTGTGGTTCAAGTGATTCTTTGTTTCAGGCATATTCTGATTCAGTTCAATCTTGGCGTTGATTTGGAATTAAAATCAAGTTTCAGTAGAAGTTCTGTCTTTTGAAGGCAAACGATGCTAATTTGTTTATCGAAGCTTGTTTTATAATAGCGTTTACGTCTTTCTCGTCCAATTAAAGTTGAAAAAACACCAACTGATGAGCGGCCGATATTCTAATGATATGGTACTTTTTCACAAATACCTACCTGCTTGGTATTTCCAAAACCACAAATAGTCTAGTTCACCAGAGCAATTTTTTCTAAAACCTGCTCTCTAAAACCGAAAATTTTGAAGAGGTATCGGCAAAAATTTGCAAAATTTATAAAGAATCAAGTAACAAAATTTTCGAATCGAAAAAAGATCTTTGAATAGCAGAACATTTTCTAAAAAAAGCTCCGACTTCCGGAATTTTACCAGCAATATTTGGAATTTAAATTTTGAGGTAAAATTATACTTGTACACAGATTATTTCAACCGATTGAATAGGAAAAAAAATGAAAAAACTCACTAATACAGTTTACTGTAAGATTTTCAGTATGCTATCATTTTTTTTTTGATATTACTTTATTTGTTTGTTAAAAAAACTATTTGTTGTAGGAATTTTTTTTGCTATTTTCATGATGAAATTATGAAACAACAACAAATATTAATGGGCGCTCCGGCGCGACTACATTGATTCCAGTGGCGCATTTGCTTTTTCAGCTGTAGGAAAACCCGGAAAAGCCATATTTATATGGTATATCAAAGGGTGTAAACTTTCCCGGCCAGAGCTAACGTGTCGAAGCTATTTTCCGCGTTGGTTGGCGATGTTTTGCAGGTTTAACGCATAACGTTTCGTCTACTATTGCGATATGCATTATCAAAGGCAATGTGCCAACGGACGAAGTGCTCGAATTGTTCTCACAGCAGACACAACGTTTTAGCAATTCTTCGCTGGTTTCATTCCATCAGGTGAGGTTGGCTCGTTCCTATTAGTTTGAATGACCTGATTTGTGTGCGATTTAGAACAGGTAGCCAGACTTTCCCCATGCTAATTCCCTTATGAAATTATATCGCCTCCTTTCATACTCTAGGATAGTAATTCTGACTTTTATTGAAGTATTTGTGTTTCATCGAACGAAATCACGTAAATGTCTGTTCGGCTGCAGCTGTTTTGTCTGTAAGCCCGAGGCGATTGACTCGCATCTACAAGCGATTCGATATACCCCTGTATTGCTCAAAGGCTCTCTAGAGTCCTCAGCTAACTCTCTGATAGTTTGTTTAGGTTGTGTTACTCCAGAATTTTCCTAATGGGGTCTGTAACATCTTTAACGTAGGGGCAGGAGGGCTTTCCTTTTGCCGGGTCTAGTTCAAGTTACTTTGCCTTATTTGTGGTAAAATTTGGAGTTTAGATCCCAAACGAATCCATTGGATTTATGTGATGACTGTCAGACCAATGCTCACCTATGGTGCAATTGTCCGAAGGCTCTACAGAAAACGGTCCAGGCGAAGCTCTCTGGCTTACAGAGACAGGCTTGTTTGGCCATCAGTAGTGCCATTAGTACTACACCGTCAGCGGCCATGGGTATCCTTCTAGATTTACCCCCTCTCCACATTTTTCTGGAGAGAGAGGCAAGATGGACTACATATAGACTTGTGCACATTGTCAATTGCACAAATGAATTCAATGCAGAGTGCAACAGACTGTTGGTTGACATTGGAAGTCACAGCATTCTGGAAATGATCTCTGACTTTATGCCTCCAACTGTCAACTACGAACTATCTTATAAAGTACTGTTCCCGAGTAGAGAGGACTGGATCCTCCGGGAGAGAGCAGATAGTTGTTGGTTCACAGATGGATCAAAAACACCTTCAGTTTTTGGTGCAGGTGTTTTCAGTCGCATACCCAGGACAGAGATATCAACCTGCCTAAGTCAATAAAAATATTCTCTGACAGTCAAGCGGCGTTGGAAGCTCTTGGCTTCTACTGAACAACGTCTAAATTGGTAGCAAATTGCCAAAAACGACTCTTCTCGATAGGAAGACTTAACAGATTGTCTCTGCGGGGGGTGCTGCAAGCTGTTTCATCGGACCAAAACCTGTCATTGGCATCGCTTTAGGCTTTGCCAAACAAAGATTGAACACCTAGATGGCAAGAAGATTTATGGACTTCTGGCAGAATCTTCTAGAATTGGCTCACTCCAAGGCGTTTATTCACCCTTCGAAGCTTGATACCAAACAGTTGTTGGATTACAGTAGGGATGAACTAAGATGTCTAACAGGCCTTCTTATGGGTCACTGTCGAATCATCATATGCAGAGACTCGGACTATCGGAAGACAGTGTGTGTCGCCTCTGTTTGGAAAATGATGAAATAGCAGAGCACATACTTTGTGCCTGCCGTAGTCTTACCATCTGACCTGAAGGACCATTCATCATACAAACTAATCGGCTTCGTTAAGAAGCTGGGTTTATTTGATCGAGTGTGAATAGGTGTGAGCCACAATAAACCCTTGCGGGTTGCGGCGGAGGTCGAATAGACCCACTGACCTTGGACCCAACCTAAACTACTTTGCCTTTCGGTCTCCTGGATCATATCGCCTGCTCAAACTATGAATGGCACACAAATCAGGCCACCATTCAGCCATCAGGAATGAAGCCTTCTTGCCACCAAGGCAATAAAACTAGAGACATTTTTCAATAATGCAATATCTGGTGCGAGAACAACCCAAGCACTTCGCCCGTTGCATCTACCGTAATAATAGACGAAACTTCAAGCATAAAAAACCTGTGTACCACGGCTAACAAACCTGGAAAATATCTAAAATGATACTCAGCTGTTTTTCCTCAATATTCGGGTAAATTATTTTTGATGTCCGATTCAGTCAAGATAGGCGAAAGAGCCGCTATTCGTTTCAAATCCAACTTTTATCTCGTAATGAAAATTGTGAATATTGCTGGCACAGTTCCAGGAAGTGGAATTTTTTTCTGGAAGCTTTGTGCTTTTTGAAGCTATTTTTTCAAATTTCAGATATTATAAAAAATCGAAATTTTGAGGAGTTTTTTCCGTAACTGTTTATAACTTTTGAAATTTTTGGAACTTTCTACATTATACATTAATGTATAAGTTTCGAAATGTCCTTATAGGACGAAACTGCAATTACGTTAGTTACAAATAAAAGTGGTAAAAAACATAGAAAGTTTCAATTATCTTTTCTCCATTATGATTTCCTACCACGTAATAACGGCTACATCCATCAATTTTTTGAAATTTTTGCCGGCCCCCTACAGCAATTTCATAAAATTTTTAGGACCGAATCGAATGCCATAATCATAATTTCGATAAAATGATACGTGCGAACCAGACTAAAACAAGTTTTCTCAATTGTGACCTCTAGACTGAGATGAGGAAGATGTGTTTGGCAAGAGATAAATCATCCAACAATAACAACGTATCGCTTTTTGGATCTCCGTAACTATTTCCTTCTGACTGTAAATAATTCATTCTTGAAAGAATAAACAAAATTCAAGAACTTCACGGCTAATTTAATGTGGTAACTGGTGTGGCCGTGGTGGATACAACTTATTATATGAATCACGTTTAAAACTATATGTATATAAAAGTAATCGAGATTACTGATAATTAGTGAGTGATATTCACTTTGTTCCGGGTGGATCTTGCCGTGGGTAAATCCAGAAGATGGATATCAGTGTTTGTGCTTGGATTGTTTGTTTGGCGTTTTCAACCGGCGTGGTTTCTTCCGATGATCAGCCGAATGTTGTGTTTATTGTTGCCGATGATCTGGTAAGTTTGATTACAAGTGAATTGATTGGTAGTTTCAAAACAATTACTATTCCCAAACACCAATAGATTGTCTACATAATCTTCTGAAGACGCCAACTTGATTGATGAAACACGCGTTGAGAAGAGTGTTGCAGTTCTGATGCTTGGGAATTGTGCTTGTTTTAGATTTATTCTACCCTAGCGTTCTAGGTCTACCTCTCGTTGGTAGGTGTTATCGAAAGATCTTTAGCGAAAATATGTTTGAACTTTTTTGTGGAATTCATCTGATATTATTATAGTCTGATTATTGTTCAGTATACAGTGTGGTCAGGCTAATCCGCATCATGAGTGAGTTTTTTATTAATAATATTTTTATTAGATATTTGAATTTGGCATCATTCTCTATTTCGATCGAGATGAACAATAATCCCAAAAACTGATTTACGTGATTCGCATTATCTGTCAAATTTTATTTTTTTTTTCAAACAAATTACAAATAAATACACCACCGAAACATTTTTTTAGGTTCAGTTATTGGATCAGGAGTTGGAGAGTTGAGAAGCTCTCGCTCCCGATCTAAATTTACAGGAAGGTCAGTTGGAGTCGTAAGCTCGATATCCATCTCCTCTGTAGACTCAGCGTCAGAAAGAATTTTTAAGTTTACTCTGTCCATAAAATGCCCACGAGTAGTTAGGGAAAGAAGGTCAATCACGGCAGAGCCCGGCATTACCGTGACAAGGCGATGCTACGACGAGATGGCGCCCGGTATCTCGAAGGTTCCGTAGAGACAGCTGATAGGCTCAGTGTCATTCATCCTCAGTTAGGGAATAACAGAACCACAAGTGATTCTTTCATTCCCGTATCCAGCGGGGCTACGTGGAAGCAGGCATCCGATGGCCGGTTTGCTCAAGCCAATGCACTCGTCAAAAACAGCATGCACAGTGGTTCAGGCAGTGAAAGATGAACAAGGACAGCCAACCCGCCAATAGTGGGATTTAGTTGGGCCGAAAATCTTGTAGGCTAACATAGAAAATGTTTTTGATGAAATTTGATTTCATTATTTAATATAGTTCCCTTGGAGAGCTATACAACGATTATAGCGGTTATACTATTTTATGATACCATTTTTCTAGTACGATTTGTCTGTAGCTTCAAAATAGGTCTCAGTTTCGACGATTATCTCGTCATCGGCGCAAAATTTCTTTCCAACCAGCAATCTCTTGAAGTCTAAGAACATAAAAAAGTCGCTGGGGGCCAGATCTGAAGACAACGGTGGATGCGGAAGCAATTCGAAGCTCAATTCATGCAATTTTGCCATCGTTTTCATTGATTTATGAATGATCTAGAAATATTTAGAGTTATATTTAGAGTTCTTCTGGTTGAAACAACTAAATGGCGGGCGCTTTAAACAATGATTTCGTTCCTTGAATGAATATGACAGAGATAGACTAACATATTTGCAACTAATTTGATCTTTAATATATGAGAATAAATTGAAGTTTAATGTCGGTGACCCTGACAACTAGTATAGAATGAAACAGTGACGACTGAAGGAGAAAGGTCAATGAATTCTAAGAACAAAACACGTTTTTCTGAGCCAAAAAAGTAGTTGAAAAAACGAAATTACCTTCATCAATATCATTCATCATTTATCCATTCGTTCATTAATGAATTCAGTAAAACCACTAAGCTGCTATTACTAAGCTCATGTTTCATTTTGATTACATACAATTAGACAAATGTATTCATGGAAATATCATTTGAATACACTATTTTGTTTCATTTTAGGGTAATTCAAAATGAAATAAATAGCGATGAAATATGTAATTGTAGTGCAGTTCTGAAATAATTCTCAAACAAACCAGGTCATAATTTATGATTGAATATGGGTGAGAAGATATTTTTTTTTGATTTTTTAACATAGAAATGAATTGTATTCCACCTTTTGAACTTTTAAAATACTCTAGGAAAGCTAGTGACTATGTTGTAATTTATTTCTTATATTACTTTCAAAGCTTCCACAACATGTTTGAATTGCCATTGGGTGTAATAACATGAATTACTGTTGATAAATAAATGTAGATGAACTTTTTTTCAATAAAGAGTCCAGAGCACATGCCAGATAGTTTAAATCCTCTTGAATTTTCTAGCTCTGTTCTACAACTTTCTACAATGTGAAACTTCAGCCCTCATATCTTCAGAAGTAGGCCCTTCGGCCCCTTCGGGTGAATATGAGAATCTTCTTCATCAACAAACTAATCTGAAACTATGACAGAAAAAAATGTAGGCAAATATGTTCTACTTCCTATGCGACGCCGGTTCGGCTTGCTGGTCTGTATACAGTGCAGTCCATATTATTTTCAGGACACAGGTGGACACATTTTGACATATTCACATTTGATGTTACTTCCCCTATGGCACCCCCAGAGTATGTCACTATTTTTTTAATGGATCACCCTATATTGTTTGACATTATCAGATTTCAACAAAGTATAAAACATATGGTCTGAAGCTTATGGTTCGGGAGCAACAAATTATTTTAGTTGAAAACGAGCCTCCCTGAATAACTTTTGAAACAATGATTTGCAGGAAAAATAAAAGAACAGGTCAACAATTATACAGGAGGCTACATTTTAAAATATGGATAAATCAGAAAAAGAGATTTTTTATTAATTCTTGAATCAAAATCTGATGATTGGACAATGAGATGAAAAAAAATGTCTATAGTAGATGTTCAAAAACGTTTCCATTGAAGCGAGCTTCTATGGCCGTCCTCACATGGTTGAGAATCTCGGGAATTATTTCTCTGCAATGCCTCATGATATTCTTTCGCAAATCTTCTGATGTTGTTGATCTATCTCATACATTTTACACTTCAAATTACCCTATAGAAATGAATCCACAGGACTGAGATCAGGAGAGCTTGGTGGCCATTCTGTAGGACCTCTTCTGCCAATCCAGCGACCAGGAAAATGATCATGCAAAAATTGTCGCACTGGAGCTGCATAATGAGAAGGTGTACCATTCAAAATATCCAAATATTTATCACTAGTCAAATTATCATCGATAAAAAAAAGATCCTATGATGTGGTCACCTGAAATTCATGCCCAAATATTCAGTTTTCGAGGTCGTTGGGTATGAATTTGACGGTATAAATGAGGATTCGTATCACTCCAATATCGACAATTTCACCGATTCACCTCTCCATTGAAACTGAATGTACATTCATTCATCCAAAAACAAACTTTATACAAGAAATTCTGATGCAAGTTGATCCGTTCAGTAAGACTTTCACAAAACTCGATACGGATGAAATTTGTACTTATGAGGTATCCTGAAAACATTTGTAAGACTGATTCCTGATTCTCGGTATAACTTAGTAAGATATTGCGAATTTTCCATTAGTCCAACGTGCCCTAAAACTGCAGTACAAATAGCTTCATCGTTGACAACTCCTGAACGGTTATGCTTTTTATTGTTAACAGATCCAGTTTCCATAAATTTGTTCAATGAAGGGCTCTTCATTGATGAAAATCTAAAATTTGATTCCCATGTCGACTACTTATGTGAAAGACTAGCAGCAGGATGTCATGCAATGAGAGTTGTTGCAAGAGAGTTAGACACTACTATCACAAGATCAGTTTATTTTGCACAAATTGAGTCCTACTTACGTTATGGAATTTGTTTCTGGGGAAATTGTGCAAAATTTCGTTTCAATATGGTATTCTCTCTACAAAAAAGATCATCAGATATTTATGCAAGGCTAGCTACAGGGATTTATGCCGCCCATTATTTGTGAAGCTAAAAATTCTGACCTTAGTATGTCTTTTTATTTTGGAAACAGTGTGTCTTATCCACAAAAAATGTAAAAATCAATTTAGTAACACCTCAACTTATAGTACACGTCAGTCTTACTCCGTTTCCCTTCCCACACCTTCTCTAGCCCTTACACAAAAGTCTATTATTTTCAATACCAAGAAGTTATTCAACCACCTTCCCATTAATTTAAGGCGAATATATAATGAAATGAAATTCAGAAATACAGTGAAAGAATTCCTTGTTGGGAGGCCCTATTATAGTGTGGACAAATTCTACCAAGGCTCTATCGAGTATTTGGCATGTAGCTTTGTGTAAACAAATTATTGAAACCAACACGAAATGGCTATCAATGTTCATTATGTAGCATTATATATTTACATTTACCTAATATTCATAAATTCATGTACTTATATTTGTATTTGTTCAGCTAGACTCAATATTGTTCTGTCCATATACTCCGCTCTTGTCTCTAAGCATTATTTTATAGTTTATGTTTGTTAATTGTCCCATATACATGTTTTACTTTACTAGACTTTGTCAATAAGATGTTCATATCTTGTTATTCAGTGTGGCTCGTTTTGAATGAAATGCACTGTATAAAGCACAATTGAATCATTGAAAATAAATAGTATCCTCTTAGAACTCTAAGCAAAATGTCAAACTTCCACGAATAGTTATAAAAAGGCGATCTAATAAATGTATCTTTGATAGTTGTTTTGAATAAATTTATGAATAATTTTCAACAAACATCTCATTTATTCAATCGATTTCAGGGTTGGTATGATGTTGGGTTTCATGGAGGAAATCAGATCCCGACCCCCAATATAGATGCTTTAGCTTACAATGGAATCATCTTGAATAGTCACTATGTCCAACCAGGCAGTACTTCAACGAGGGCAGCTCTTCTCACTGGAAAATATCCTTTCAGATTAGGTAATTGATGTGCCAATATTTTTTGACAACTTAAAGAATTCGAGATCTAATAACACAGCTCTTGTGTATTTTTTTATCTGAATAATTAACATTTCAAGTTAGGTTCCAGATCATCATTTAGTTGATGTTCTCTAGCTGAAAATTTACTTACTGTTGCCAATTTCCAGCATTCCGTATAATCTACTGTGGATCATCTGAACCATAGTTACTTGCTCAAAATGATATCAGCGAGTTAATACGAGATCTAAATTCATCAAAACAAGCATCGGAATTGTTTGCTACTAGTATAGAGTATAGATATACGAACTCAGCTGCTAAACGATGTTTTTCAGCTAACAGCATCTAACATTAGCCATAGAAAATGGTTTCTGGCAACAGCTTTCAAAAAAACCATATTAACCCCATTATTTAAAAAAGGCGTGATGAGACAGACATTATCAACTACCGACCCATATCACCACTACACACCTGAACCAAGTATTCGAAAAGATCATAAAAAAAGGGTAACATCGTATGTCTCAAAATATAATATTATATCTGAACGTCAATTTAGGTTTCGTAAAAATTATCTACCAAAGACGCAATCTTAGCTCTCACTTCAGGAATATCATCTGCTCTTGATGAGAATGAATCGTGCCTATGCGTTTTCATTGACTTGTCGAAAGCATTCGACACAGTTGACTACAACCTTTTACTGAAAACACTAGAAGATATTGGTATAAGAGGTGATGCTCTGAACTTGTTCAAGAGCTATCTCGCCAATAGACTTCAGTGTGTAAAAATTGATGACATTTTGATTGATACACAAGACAATGTTATAGGAGTCCCCCAAGACATAGTTCTGGGGCCAAATTTATTCAACATATATGTTAATGAACCACCTATATCCATCAGGAGCATGAGTAAAATATTGAGCTTCGCAGATGATACAGCCATTTTTCACAAGGCAATATTTGGGAGCAACTGGTACATGTAGTTAAATCGGATCTGGTTGAGATTAAAAATTGGCTCTAACATCGATTATCAACAGTGAATCTGGAGAAAACTCACTATACACCTTTCAGTTGCAATAATTTCAGCACAGCTTGTTTTCACAACTGAAAATTGATCAATATGTAATATTTCCCGAAGCTAAAGTGAAATACTTAGGAGTAATAATAGATTTACATCATAAATGGAATGCTCATAATTTTGGTGAAAATATTAACGGACTCTACTCTAAAAATTTTGCACTATGCACTTGTAGCGAGTCACCTGAGCTACGGAATTGCTTGTTGGGGAGAAACCTACCGCATACACACCTTCGCCCTCCTGAGGTGCTCCAAAACAGGTTCCTGAAATTATTATTGTCCAAACCGCCTTATTATTCAACTGAAACTCTGTTCAACGAAGCAAAAGTACATATAATATTATCATCCATTACCATAAGAACAGAAATTTCGCTCTACTGACTCACTTGCTTGCACAACACCTGTAGAAAAAATGATCATGTTATTCCCCATACAATTTTCCAACACTCTTATACTTACCTGGCTTATTAAAACTATTCATTTTTCTCAACCTAGGATAGTAGTTTCCGATTTTGTTGACAGAAAAAATACTTGAATACAATGTACACAATTTGGTACTATTATTTCAATCAAGAAACCACACACTACATCGTTTTATTTATGTTATATATTTTATTGTGTTCCAATTATTGTGTCGTTTTCTTTAAATAGTATATAGGTATGTATTATTCTTTCCATTCATTTAAAAGTTTAATTTTTATTTACATTGTATTTTACGTTGTGTAACTGAAATTGTCACTAACGTTCTTGAGTTCTTATATATCCTTTCTACTATCATAAATATTATAGGTTCAACTTTATATCTATATATTATGTCTGTGTTTCAATAAATTCTTGAAATTGTCTTATTCCTGTTATACGACGTAAGTGCTTTTGCACTTATCGTCATTTTTCTTTATTCAACTATTATTTTTATTATTATGTTAGGTGAAACCTTTCAAATGAATGCATAAAATTATTATTATTATTATAAAGTTATTATTATTCGCGAAAAATAATTCACTGAAAAATTGTTGAACACTCTACTAAATATTCATGCATATATTATGATTTTTATTGTGGATTAGTTTTTCGTGTTCGATTCGATTACCGATCAAAGATGAAGCATTTTCATAGATCTTGTCCGTTTTGTGTAATATTTGAATACAATAGAGAATATTGTTAATGAAGCTTCATCTCACCTTTTCTGACGAATAACTGAATGTTTTATTGCAGGGTTGCAGGGATCCTCTTTTTTACCAGCCGATAGACGTTTCCTTCCAGAAGGAAAACTTATGCCTGGTTACTTCAAGGTAGTATTTCATTGAATGATTTTGTTACGTTTTTCCCCCGTGGGTACACCAATAATTGACTACACTGAATAATCAAACTTAACTTCATTTCACTTTCAATATACAAGTACTTCATCTATTATTTGAATGTCTATCGCCTTGCTAAATCACTTCGCGTACCGCACTGTAACGTCCACTTGACTTTCGCCAAAGTTCCGTCGGTGGCATTATTCTCGCTGCTTTTAGAGTGGTGGGTAATCATCGTACATTCGCGCGTTCTCAGCTACGTCACGTTTGGTTTATGGTTACCAGTGGCGGCCGACGTTATTTTCTTTCGGGCATGATTTACAACAATATAGAGCATGCTCAGGGCAAACTGCTTAAGTATTCTTTTTGAACGAATTGGAAATAAAATCAGTCGTTATCATTTATTTAATGTAACAACGTAAAGAAAGTAAATGTATCCCGAACTAAAATTCAATATGAATGTAATTCACTCCGCTAATGAAACAGAATTCAAATGTAAATACTTGTACGGAATATCAATTTTCAAATACTGGTGATGAATGATGATAAAGGATTTAAAAAATGTTTAAATATTCCAAAATATATCTGAAAAATTTTCTTTGGGTTTTTTCAATGATTGAAGTTGGAAATAAGAACAAGTTTATTTTACAATCAATAATGAGTAATAAGTTACAAGTATAAGTATAATGAGTATCCTGAATTGCAGAAAAATACCGTTGATACGGTATTAGACTATTTAGTGCAGTGATTCCCAAAGTGGTCCAGATGGACCTCCAGGGGTCCACGAGACACTCGACAGGGGTCCACGTTAGCGTGACCAAAAAATGAGGGTTCACAAATCTGGTTTCGATAGTGAAGAACTGGAATGGTGATTTGCCTTCACCTACCAATGTGTCAGATAATATTTTGAGAAGCTCAGCAACTGTTGCATATAAAAACTTGCAAATTCAATACGTGGTGAGACTTGCAAAGCGCCGTCGCTGCCGCCGCCCGCAAAGCTTCAGACGTGCAAAGAGAACGAAATACAACTTTATTGCATGAACTTGTTCGATTCTTCACCAATATAAATATTAATATTTTATTTTTATCACACCGAATGGGGAGTTTTCTGAATAACATAAGTGAGAATTAAATTATCTAAAAGAACAATTCGTTCAGGCCAGTCTCAAATTGCCTACACTCTAGGTTAATGGACTGACACCTATCAGAAAACAACTACTTCCCTGACTGATACCATGAAGGGCATTGGATTATATCCAAAAAGGTGTCAGTGCAGGATTCTCAACTGAAGTTATTCCTGCATATGATGTTGAAGATTCAACTGCCGCAATCGATTTTCAATTATTGGAACACACTTGCAGACCGGTTTTGACATCCACTCACAGCACAATCAATTAATTGATTAACCAATCAATTCTCCGTTCTTATTCGAGAACTGTTAATTCGTGGTTTTAACGCAGCCACACCGCAAATTTCCATAGTTAGATCTAATCTTCAAATTTTTTGTCAAATTTTGGGAAATTGATATAAATGTAGCTGCAGGGGGTCCACCGGAACCAGCACAATTAAGTAGTCTATGATAAAAAAGTTTGGGAACCCCTGATTCAGTGAATATAATGAAATATAACAATCGATATACTCCAAAGTGATAGTTACAAAAAAATGAGTTAATATAAATGAGTGAACATTGGACATTTAAACTATTGAAATATTCAAATATTTCTCTTGTGAATGAAATGAACAATTTTCTGTTTTGATTGATAAAAAATACATTTCAATGACATTTTCAAATAATGAAGTGTTTACGACTTAATTTCGGACTGTATGGATAATTTCGGTGCCAAATAATTCCTTGAGCGTTGGGAAATTGGCTCATGACTTATATAAATAGGGACTTATAAACAATACGTCTATAATTACGTATTGATGTTATAAAACGAAAACTTTTTTCATATATTCCAAATATATGAATATTTTTAAAAACTGATATTTTTGCTGCACCTTATACCTACTGAATTTTATAATTCTGTATCTGTAGAGTAGGGAGGGTGAGCGTAGGTCCACAGCACTTAGGCCACATGTAACCCATTGTACATCCTTCCAAGGAGTTGTCCTCCTAGGTCATCGTCCATCCTGACCTTTCCAGGAAGGTGGACAGGTCACTGGGAGACTTATCCTTTATATCGGCAGGTGTAGGCCAAGACTCGCCGAACACACTCTCTTATTGACGATAACTCCGGTCACTCGCATAGGACATGCCTGACAGTCTCATCTTCCTGTTCACACATCCTGCATAGAGGTGTGTCCACTAGCCCCATATTATGGAGTGGTAAGTCAGAAATCCTACTGCTAAGCGTAGATTTTTTCTGGTCATCGCCAGATATTTCTTCGGCGCCAGCTTCCCAGGGTCGCCAAGGGTGATCCTGGCAAGATTGCATTCTTTGATTCCATCCCATCTCTATAGGGATTGAGCTGGTTCCGAAATTGTCGTAGTCATCAGGCCGTAGGTGCCACTGGGTCCTAAAAATGTTAGTCCAGCCGCTTCCTTGGCTAAAGTGTCGGAAATGCGATTACTTTTACTCCTGTCGAGCCCTTCAACCAACCTCAGGATAATGTTATTATCTTTGGCTAAATCTTGGTGGCACTCTAGTACTAGCCCTGAGGTAACACGTTGCCTGTTCAAGCCTAATAGGGCTTATCTGCTATCAGTGCAGATTGTTATGTTTTTGCCAGAATTTCCTTTCCTGGTTATTTCTTTTGTGGCGATTGAGATACCGGCCAGTTCTGTTTGGACCATGCTGGTATTTTTCCCATTCCCCACTTAATCCTTAGTCTTAGTGATCTGGAGTACGCTCTACATCCTGAGCCTTCTTTGGTTTTGAGCCGTCTGTATATATGCGTATTGCATTTGTAGCATCTGCCTCAGTGTTCTCTTTCATTTGTATTTTTCAGGATTTATTAAACACAAACCTGAGTTCAATTGCATCACTGGTTGCCGGCAGCAGAGATTGCGCAGTAAGCGCTTCTCGCCAAAGGTTCAGCCTCAATTGACCTATTTCTTCTTCGACGTTTATACCAGCCATGCGCAATCGTAACATGACCATTAACGCAACCTCCTTAACATACAAGTCCTAAGGGGTTAGACCAGTAACTAACTCCATTGCCGAGGTTGGTGTTGTTCTCATGGCTTCTGTGATGTTTAAACAAGCCAGCCGCTGTATTTGATATAATTTTTGGACGACTGTTGCTTGTAGAACTTTCGGTCCGCATGCAATGGCTCCGTACGTTAACGAAGATCTTATTATTATCCAGGTGACCACACGGGGTGAAAGACCCCATGTGCGTCCCACGGTCTTCCGACATTTCTCATAAGCCACATATGCTCTCTTTGCTCTACTCTGTAGGCGAGAGTTCCATGCTCTTGTCGCATTAATTAATCTTTTGTTTCGCAACGGTAAATTTCCTTCATTCTTGAAAAAGTCTGTGATAATTCCCTTGCACAAAGGCGGAAACTTAGATGCTCCCTCTAACTATCGTCCAATATCACTTATCCCGACCCTAGCAAAAATAATTGAAAAACTAGTGAAAAAAGGCTCAATGAATTCCTTATTGCTCATAAAATCATCAAAGAGAATGAATTCGGCTTTCAGGCTAAAAAGAACACCAAAGATGCAATTTTTTCCTTCCTGTATAAGGTATATTCAGATATAAATGCCGGAGATGTAGCTGCAGCAATATTTTGTGACCAAAAAAAGGCTTTTGACTGTGTAGACCACAAAATACTTTTGCGGAAACTACATTGCTACGGCTGTGAGGGAGTTACTTTGGATTGGTTCGAATTATACCTAACTGGGCGCAGTCAAGTCGTAAAAAGTGATATAACTTCAAAATATATTAATATAGATTATGGAATGCCACAAGGATCGGTTTTGGGACCCACTTTTTTTCTTGTATATATCAATGATTTACTGTGTACAAACATTTCTGGAAAAATTACCTTATTTGCAGACGACACCACCATTTCATGGCATAGTAAAACTGTTGAAGATCTGAATAATAAGATAATCAGAGATATTAATGTAATCAAGTCTTGGTGCGACTCGAATCTTCTCTCTTTTAATATAAAAAAACAAATATAATAACTTTCAAATGTACTTTAGAAGATATGGCTCTAGAAAATGAGAAGATTGAAAATAAAGATTGCACAAAATTTTTGGGCTTTTATACTGACAGTAAATTGAAGTTTGATGCACACGTCAACCAATTGAAGAATAAAATCTCCTCAGGGTGCTATGCAATAAGAATTATTTCAAGGGATCTTGATACTGCAACGGCTATGAACGCATATTATATTATGCATTAATTGAATCTCAACTGAAATATGCCATTCCTTTCTGGGGGGTATGTAACTCTAGTCTGCTAGATTCAGTACTTTAACTGCAAAAGAGAGCCATTAGATATGTGTTCAAACTAGGACCGTGCATTTCATGTAGGCAGTTATTTGCAGAAAAAAATATATTGGCAGTTGTGGCTCTCTTTGTAATGGAAACTGCGTGCCTTATACACAAACATAGGTCAAAATTTGTATATATTTCTTCGTGTCATAGCACTCGCCTAAAATTTAAAAATAATTTTAAATTACCATTGCCTTCTTCATCCCTAGTAAAGGACTATAACGGTGTTAAAATGAGACTTACCGTCTCATTTTAGAAATAGCCACAATAGTATTGACAGCTTTAGAAAATATACAAAACAACTTCTCACGATCAGACCCTATTTTAGTTTGCAAGAATTTTACAATGACAACTTCCAGTGGAATTGTGAACTGTCATCTGTAATTTATTGCGGGTACTGTATGATTAGTTAATATAAATGAGTGAATATTGGACATTTAAACTATTGACATATTCAAATATTTCTCTTGTGAATGAAATGAACAATTTTCTGTTTTGATCGATAAAAAATACATTTCAATGACGTTTTCAAATAATGAAGTGTTTACGACTTAATTTCGGACTGTATCGATAATTTCGGTGCCAAATAATTACTTGAGCGTTGGGAAATTGGCTTATGACTTATATAAATAGGGACTTATAAACAATACGTCTATAATTACGTATTGATGTTATAAAACGAAAATTTTTTTCATATATTCCAAATATATGAATATTTTTAAAAACAATACAAAACAACTTCTCGCGATCAGACCCTATTTTAGTTTGCAAGAATTTTACAATGACAACTTCCAGTGGAATTGTGAACTGTCATCTGTAATTTATTGCGGGTACTGTATGGCATACTCGATTAGACTGTTAAATTATAAGTCGTAAAATTGAGAAAATGTTCAAATAACATTTTATGATTGATATTTTATTTATTCATTGACACTTATTCTATTGAATAAAATGTATAATTGATAAATGTATCTGTTTATATACAGCTTGTTTATATAACAATTTTATTTTTATTTATATTTTACATAATTGTGTGTATTTTGCCTAAATTTCATTTCTGTACGTATATATTCTATTTTGTCAACAACCCAAGAGTTTTTTCGACAATAAAGTATATTTTGATTGATTGATTGATTGATGTTAGCTTCCTGTCGAGGATAGTAACAAGGTTTTTCACCTCTTCAGAGAAGTTTAGTTTGCTTTTGAAGATTTCGGGAGTTTTCAACCCCGATAAACTTCCTTTCCTGGTGAAAAGGACCATCTCAGTCTTCTTGGGATTGATCGACAGTGAATGTTCCTTACACCATGTTTCTAACAATTTGAGCCCATCCTGCGCTCTATCGCACAGTGTGTTCACAAATTTGCCGGTCTGCAAGATAACTGTGTCGTTTGCATCTGAGGTATCCAGAACTATGTTCCATAGAAGGGGTGATAAGACCCTTCCATGTGGACATCCCCCTATCCCCTCAAACCATGTGTTTTTTTTTGTTCAGGATACTCCGTCGATATTTGGTAAATCTGCAAAATCATTCTTTGGTTCGACAAATACAAATTTCTATTTGATTACCTTTCGATTTTATTATGAACATGATTTTTCAGGACAGTTTAATTTTTGGAAAGTTTCGCAAATTATGAATAGTTTTACCTTATACTGAATTTTATAATTTCTGAATATATTTCAGATCCATTCTTTTCATGGTTGATTATTGTAACATCTTGATAGTATTTTGCATTTCCTAGCTGAAACTAAGAGGTTTGGTTAATGAAAGATTTCAGTGGCACTACAAGTACTAGCTTTTGCATTCAAACCTGTTTTTTTTTAGTTTAAACGACACGAGATACGGAACGGAAGATCTCATGATATCTCGTATGAAAGATACCACAATTCTCTATCCAACACTGTTTTCAACTAATGTTACATTTCAGCAACATGATATACATTCTCATCACGACAGGCCGGTTTGGAAGTAGCCAAACGACAATTATCTAAAACGGTGGTGTATAGGCTAACGCAGTCTTAGAATGGCCTGCTAGATCACCTGATATGACGCCTTTAGATTTGTTTTGGGATTCGTGAAATCTGAAGTATACGTTAGACAACCGCAGTCTGTTTAAAATCTCTAGAGTAGAATAAAGGGTGCTCCTATAAAGATGTGGAAATAGAAACCCAAAACCTTTCTTTTCCAATAAATGCATTAATTGGGATGAACGGGAATGAGTTTTAAATTTTTTTTCTTAAAATTATGACGTTTATTGTTTGTTTGCAGATGTTTAAGACGAATATAAAACTATCAATCACCCATGAACGGCTGATTCTCAAAACTTAAACAGGTTTGAATAGATAATTGAAATATCTATCAAAGTATCACAAAATCCCCCTTTCCAAGTGTTGCAAAATTATAGTATTTCTTACCAAAAACTAGGTCGGATGGTACCTTTTGATAAAAATTTCGTCCGACTTTGATATCTTGTCTCGTTCAAAAGTTGAGAGGGGGAAACTTTTTACATCAGCACTGTATAATTTTTTTCACAGTGAAAGTTGTGTCATGCAAATATTTTACAGTTGAATGAAATAATGATGATAATGAAATAATTTCATTAACTTATTTCAACACAATACAATCTCATATAATATCTATTATATCATAATTTTGAAAATGATTGATTAAACCTACGCTATTTCAGGATTTGGGGTATTCGACTCATCTGGTTGGCAAATGGCACATGGGATATTCAAGATGGAATGAAACACCAACATCTAGAGGATTTGATCATCATTTCGGATATTACAATGGATTCACAAGCTATTTTGATTACTTGACTACTTGGACCGTAAGTTTCAATATCGATATTTGAGATAACTAATGCCTTCTTTTGTTAGAATCTCACGTTGCGTACCTTCCTCAATATACAGAGTGTCCTTCACTATATTATCTTTTGTATTATTTATTTTTGAGCGTTTTTACATAATCTTTGGTTGATTTCTTGAAAAAACATGTTTTTCCAATTATTCTCAAGGGGAATGACAATATATTTATTCACTGTTCATTGTTTTCATGTTTCAATATTTGTTTTTTTTTTATATTGTAACGAAGGTGTGTTCTCTCTGTACATTTTCATGAAAAAAGTATTGATGTTTGTCACATTTTTGTAGTTCGACAATAAAGAATACACAGGATTTGATTTACGTAAGGATGGAGTGCCAGCCTTCGAAGAGGTTGGGAAATACGCCACTGATGCATTCACCGAATACACAGTGAAAACCATAGAAGAACACGACAATTCTAAACCATTATTCATTATGCTTGCCCATCTTGCAGTACACGCTGGAAACGTTGGAAAACGCTTGGAGGCGCCACAAGAAACTATAAACAAGTTCAAACATGTTGAGGATTCTAACAGAAGAACATATGCGGGTAAGTCTTCAATTTGTGGGGTTATTTCATTGTGCATCGTGATATTATGTTCTGGTTGCTGTTATCGAAAATAATTTCAACCGGTGATTTTAACATCGACGTTAACGACACTGAAAATATTTCTAACAAAATATTAAAATTCTTTGAAACCAGTGATGCATGTTGAATCAACTGAACGCATTTCATAATATACAAGTAGTATCATTGATTATATTGGCAAAAGTGTTTCAGAAGATTTAATTGCCTATAATATGATTCCTTCAGGACTCTCTGATTATAAATCCATATTATTCATTTTGAAAACGAATACTTGTTTGAAATGAAACAATGGAAATTGGAAGCATGTAGGTATTACAGAAATAACTTCAACAGATTAAATAGAGAATATACCAATTCAGGGTGGAAATAACCACTTCATGGAGTTTCACAGTTGTCTTTTTGATATATTTGATAATTCATTTCCAGTAAGGAAGATAAAGTAGAAAAAAATACAGCGGCTAAATATTTATGATGTCATCATTATCTGAAAAAATGTACATGTGACGTAAGCTTTCACTATTTGTTTCAAAAATCTCTCGGTTTATTGAGAGATATTCAAGAATTATCAAGAATGCAAAAGGAACATATTACAAAAACAAAATAATTGAGGCAGAAAACAAGATTGAAAAAAGTACAAATTTCTCCTAACACACAATGATTCAAAAAATCTCCTTAATAACCTCAGACCTGGTGAAGATCCTACGAAGTATCTTGAACCTAACAAAATTATTGGAACTTTTATTCCATATGACACAGACCTCTCAGAACTGAAACAAGTTATAGCGCCATCTGTCCGCGATTAGATCAAGCAAAAATGTCAGTATATCAAGGAGGTTACGTACAGCGCCATCTGCCCGCGAGTAGATCAAGCAATAATGTCGATATTTCAAGGAGGTTACATACAGCGCCTTCTGCCCGGGAATACATCAAACAATAATGTCTATGATTCTGTAAAATACAGAACAAACAAACAAACATACATACATACATAGAAGTGAAGCTAATAAAAGCGTGGTAATTCAAAAAATAGGATCCCTTATTGAATTTAAAAAAGCAGTGATGAACTTTTGAACTCCCAACGTACCTACATTTTAGGTTCTGGTAAATTCCTTTTGGAAAACAACTACTTCTCCGGCTAATACCACGCTGGAAATTGGCTCTGCTGCTGGATGAACGAGGGCATCTGCAAGACTATTATCTGTGACATATCTTGCATGAATGCCTGTCTGATATCTTTCAATGTCCAGCGTGGTATTCACCGGGAAAGTAGTAGTTTCCGGCAGGCATTTATCAGAACATACTGTGTAGATACGTTGGAAGAGATGAATGTTTACACCATGACAGCTTGCATTAAACTTGGAATTTTGACTTCAATATTGAAATAAAAATTTCTAGATTAAAACCCAGTTTCTGTATTGAAGTCGTAATTCTCAAGAAACAAATAATAAAAATATGCGCTTCCTTACTTTAGTGTTACAAACACTAAATTTTTCTTGGGAATAATAAAATTGTAAATTTTTTTATATTTTATCTGTTTACATTTACAGCAATGGTATCCAAATTGGACGACAGTGTTGGCTCAATTGTTGAAGCTTTGGAAACAAAAAAAATTCTTCAGAACACCATTATCGTCTTCTTGAGCGATAACGGCGCTCCAACAGTTGGCTCAGGATTCCGGAACTGGGGCAGCAACTACCCACTTAGAGGAATGAAAGGTACTTTATTCGAAGGTGGGATTCGAAGTGTTGCACTCATTTACAGTCCTTTGCTGGTGCAACCTGGAAGGGTTTCCACTGATCTCATGCACGTGACTGATTGGTTACCGACTCTCTATTCAGCTGTGGGTGCAGACACGAGTGTTCTGGATCCGGATCTGGATGGAATAGATCAGTGGTCTAGTTTGGTGAGAATATTATACGCTGATCCAATTTAAGTACTCACAATTGGTTAATGTGTTTTTATTTCTTGCACAAAATCATTAAAATCAGCAAAAAAGTTGCAGTTTTGGCACTTCTTAAGTTGGAACATAGGAGTCCGTGATATTGGGAAAAATTATTTTTGGTTTTCTACTTCTCCATCAATGAAGACAATACAACACAAACACTTTAACTGAGATCAATACTAAAATTTTTATCGCCTCATCAAATCACTTCTGACCGCACTTTCAACTAAACTTCCTGGATCTGCCTGTTGGTAGTGTTTATGTATCGTGCTGAAAGTCTCTGGAAGCCGATAGAAAAGTCCCTGGAAGTCTCTCGAAGCGACATCTAGAACGATCTGGCGAATTGAGTTGAGCGCGACCTTGGCCAAGCCACAGTCGATTGGCGAAGACCAGTGGCGGCCGGTGTTCTTTTATTTAGGGGGATAATTTACAACATTATATAGGTCATACACAGAAATTCATTTCAGATACAAACTGAAAGAAAAACCCCTTTCCAACCTACTACTTTCCCTTGAACATTGAACTACACGAAATTCACTTTTTCCATTCAGTTTGTACTAAAAATATGCGGTATCTAATTGCGGTATTGAAACATATTATAGGAACGCTACACAATGTGATATATGCCACTTACATGGAACACTATCACCCTCAATGCTTCAATTTGAAGTTTCCGGAAAAGATAATATTATGAAACGAAAGCGTAATTTCTTTTATAACATTAACTTTATGTCACCAGAAGAGGAAAATTTACTTTTGTCACAATGACAATACGTTTACACATTCATGCAGTTATTTAATTTAATTTCAATCAAAGTGAAAAAGGAATATTTTTAGAAGATTCCTTATTTGGGAGAAATGTTTTTGTCTTTATACTTCTCAATCAGACAGTTGTAATGTTTTAAAAGAACCGTATCATTCGTCTTGTGAAAACATGCAAAATGGTGCTGATGTTCTGTTCCGAAACTTCGAAGTACACTATTGAGAATGATTATGTTCCGTATAAGATCAATTTTATATCATTGCTATTTCTTGAATTGTTATGTAGCATTCCTATGCATATCTGATTAAATTGCAAGTGTTTTTCGTGTAATCCAGTGTTCATATGAACGTAATTGTTTCAAAATGACGTTTTCCATGGTATGATTTACATACCTTTTTAGTTGTTAGTGTAATTATTTCATTACTTCCTTTCATAAGAAGTTTCCCACAGTCTCTGTTCAATGATAGAGAAGTATATAAAACCAAAGCGATTTTCTCCTATAAAACTAATATCTCAAAAAATTTCCTTTTTCAATTCAACATAAAAGTCAATTGATAAAAATATGTAAACAGTATATCCGACAATGTGGTGGTTAAGAGGAGAAATGGACTGAAAACTTAATTTTTTTGAAGAATTCATTTTGCTTTTAATTGTTTGCCTGGTAGGAAAATAAGGCATTCCCTTACAAAGAAATCTATGGAATAGATAGAAAACTCTAATTTCTTCCATGAAGATGACGAGGGGAAGCTAAGTTTCGATAGCAGCCGCCAAATGGGAAAATGTGTTTGGACTCTGGCTTCATTTAGTTTTGCGGTGAAAGCTGTAGATAGGCAGAATGTGATTTTTTATTAGGAGGTCGAAATAGAATTTTGGCTTTGTAAGAGACCTCTGTTAGGAACCTTGGTTCATCTTGGACGAACAAAGTTGAATTTTTCTGTCTGTCCAGAGATGTAACTGTCATAGAGAAATTCGTCAATTCGATGAATTTATGAAGAAACAATAGGAAAAGGAGAAAGATTTCCCCAAAACTAAAGCTTGTGCGTCAAGTTGAGAATTCAATGAAAATGAAATCGTAGAGGTATCATATATCATCGATGGCTTTATTGTGGAGAAATAGAGAAAGAGTAAAAATGTCCCACAAAAAAATGTTTATATCAAGTTGGAAATTTCAAGAAATCTATACTAGTATAAATGTGAAAGAGGGTGGATGTATGTATGTACGTATGAACGGATGGAACTTTACATAAATACAGTTTATACATCCGAATAACATATAGGCTACAATTTACAAAGGTTTTATCTAATTTTGGTCATAATATAACGATAAGTTACATATGTAGATAATGTACTTAAATGCATCTTAAATAGTTCTAAATAAAATTCCGCGATAGTATATATCTACTCTTATATGGTAACCACTATATGTGGAATAGTGAGCCATAAATACAATTAAATTGGATTCTTTTCTACAATGCATATTTTAGAATATCTGTCGAATTCTTATAAACTTAATACAATTGTCGTTTTAAGTATTTAATATAGATAAACTTTGTCTTTTACACTAAGCAATTTGGACGAATCTTTTAAAAGTTATAACGGTAAGATTAACTTGACGCAACGTAGTAACCCATTACGCGTCGCGTCTACTGTAAGACGACGGGGGAAGATGCGCCATCGCCATCACGCGAGCAGACGCGTGAGAACAGACAATCGCTGATGGTTGTGTTAGTTTTGCGAATTCCTTTATAGGTAACACAATTAAATTCTCGAAGCTGTTCATTACTTAGATATTGGTATATTTTTTCAGTTACTGTATTTTTAAAGTAAAAATATAAGATACCAGCTGTTGCTTGCTTTTATATCAACGTACAGCCGAAGCTACTGAGTCAGAATCTTGAAATAGGCAGGTAGGTTCTTTGTATATCATAAATAAGCATCAAGAAAGGAAATCAGGGAATTTCCACTTCCAAGGGGAAAAATAGGGTTTCAAGATTATATTGAATTTCGTCAGTTTTAAGGTTGGAAACCTGAAGTTTTGGGTTGAAGAAGAAACTGTTTGTTTAAAATGGCCTGTCACGAAACTTGGATGTCACAAAGCCAAATTATAGGCGGTCGAAGCCGCGGGCAACAACTAGTGAAATCATAGAAATATCACATGTCACTGTGAAGATACAAATTATTCGTATTTCTTCATAATTAATTTTTATTCTAATAGGTCTATGACTTGCCTTCTGCTCGAAATGATATCCTCATTAACCTTGACGAGAAAACAAGGAATGCAGCTCTCCGATTTTACAACTGGAAATTGATTGTGGGTGAGTATTAATTTCTTTACAAAATGGCCTTATAGGCAAAACTGCTGTGACGTTGGTTACAAATAAAAGTGGTGCAAAAACATAGGAACTTTTTATTCTCATTTTTCATAATTAAATTATGGACAACTTTTTTTATTCGTGCTAAGAAACACAAATGATGATTTTTAGATGAAAAATGTTATCTTAATCATTTATTTGAAGTTTGTGAATTTAAAAAAATAGCAAAAAACTGTTTCTTAACTATTCAATATCTATATTTTTCTATGAACAATTTGTTAACAAATGACGTGAAAAATTACAACCGCGGTTATTTACCGTCATGTATTATGTTAATAAAGAAACTTTGAATCAAAACATAAGAAATAATTTACCGTAATTCTTTTTATATTGTTTATAAAAACAAAATGAAAAACATTTATTACCTTTTATCCCATAATCTTCTCAAATATGCACGTAAGAATAGGTCCGCGAGACGAATTTTTTTTGGTTCATTATTCAAACTATTATTCAATCATTCATCATGGAATTGGCCGCGGTGGTAGTGCGCCCGACTCACGATCGGAAGATCGTGGGTTCGATTCCTGCCTCGACCAGATATTTTTCTCGAGAGAATTTTTCTGGTTGAAGCTGGGATGATTCTGCAAACGTGTTAGGAATCACACGTTAAAAGGTAAGACCTCGTTTGTCCTTGGCTCGCACAAGTTTCTCAACTTCTGAGAGTTGTCGTTCGTATATATGGGAGCGACAGCTGATTAACGGAAAATAGATTTTAAACAGACATATTTTCAACAGATCAGAGCAGATATTCAATAATAATTCATTAATTAACAAAAGCATAATTTCATAAAAAATGAGGATAACATTTTTTTCAACGGAAGCTTTTGATAGTTTAAAACTTATTGGAAAGGTATAGTATTATCGTATTATCACGTGTGTTGGAAAGTGAATCTTCTACGATAACAGAAGATGTTTAGGACAGTGGTCGGGCATCGATGAGCCATCCAGGCACTTTTCAAAGGCAAAAAGCCACGAACAAGAGATCATGGATACCACCATCTTTTCTAGCACTTCGATAATTTTCTCCCCGGTAGAACCTTTGATAATTAGGATCAGGCAAAAACGGCCTTCATCAACTTCATGGAATCCCGAGCACTCATTTCTAATGCTGGTGGAATTAATCGACTTGTGTAACGTTGGCAAAAGTTCACTGATTCAAATGGCGCTTATTTAGATTGAATGGAATAAGTATTTACCGAGATCAGGGCCGTCGCCATGAGGAGGGAGCCTCCCCCTCCTGCTTTTTCGACTTGGGAAAAAGTTGGGAAATTTTGGGCCGTGAAAATAGAAAAAAATAATAATAAAAAACTAATAAAAATTTAAAAAATGAGAGATAAGAAAGAGAGGTAATAAGAAAAGGGAAAGAACCAGGAGAAGGTTGAGATTTCCCAACACGCATAACTTGGAGATCCCTTACTTTGAAATTCTGAGTTGTTTGAAAACTTCAAAAAAGTTTAATTTCTCCCAAGTAAGAGAACAGTCCACAAATTTTGAAGTGACAATTTTACAAAATTCCCAACTTCTCGCTGTTTTTTCGAATTGGAAAAGTTGGGAAATTTCGGGCCTTGAAGATAGAAAAAATAATAGTAGAAAACAATAAGCACAATATTATTTAAGTGTATGATTATTTGTATTGAATATTCCTATACATGGTGGTTATGGTGGAAGACCAAGGACCTTGGTCCAAAGTAGAATAATTCCCATTATTATTTTTATAATTACCAAAATTTATTTTTGCTTGTGCATACCCTAACGGGCATAAGCATTCAGCCAATCTTTGGATAGCTAAGTCAGAAAATTAATATATTATAGTAGTAACTAATCCCTCGGCTTTCATTTTTCGAAAGTTGTGAAATTTTGCTAGTGGGGTTGGGAAAATTTGGATTCCCCCCCTGGTTTTTCTTTTCGCTATGGTCCTAACCGAGATATTACAGTTCAAAGTGGATTCATAGAAACTTTTGAAATAACCAATATTTATTTTTCAACAAAAAAAATTACAATTCTAGCAACAATACCAGTTTGTGTATTTTTATATATATTTCACAGGTTCCAATCAAAACGAATCATACAACGATTATTATGGAGATACTGTAACTGGTGATATCGAAGAACAACTTTACAATTCCAGCGCTGTCTATGATAGTCCTGCCGGGACAACTATACGAAAAATCAATTACGTTCCCTTGATGGAAGTAGAATACGAGGGTCTGAGGAAAGGATCGACTGTAAAGTGTCTCGATCCTAAAGCTCCGAAAAATGCCTGTGATCCTTCAAGTACGTGAAATACATTTTGAATCAGTGTTTTTATGGTAATATTATTTCAATCTGTTACAAAGGTTGTACTGTCAACTATATTTGATAATTCTTCCACCATTTGCATACAACCTCGTGGACAATGTAAGTAGTTTTATCAAAACTTAAGAAATATGTAAATACACATATTCTTACTCTTGTAGTTTCCCTGATGATGACAACAAAAGTGTAGAAATATTGGAATCAATGTCCTAAGAGTATTCTTTAGCATGCTGCGTACCATTTCTAACATACATGGTGTAATTTCCATTCTCTTCTGCTAGTACTTAAATGCTTCGCTTCTGCCCACGTTACTCCCGTTTTTTCCAGTATGTGCCCTATTGTCTTATCCCATGTTTTCCTTAGTCTACCCTTTTTTTTATCCTTCTGGATTCACGCTTTCCAAACTGTTCTAGGTAGTTAGGTCTCTTCCATTTAAGTTGGTCCAGTTAAGTTTCTACCAATTCCAGTATTGGCTGTACTTCGAGTTCTTTTCTTATGTCTAGATTCCTTATTCTATAGATATTTATTATTCCTTTCACTCGTCTAAGGTATTTCATTTCAAGATCTTCTGATTCTACTCTTTTGCTGATCTGTGAGTGTCCATGATTCACTTCCGTGTATTAACACTGGTCAGTATATGGATTTGAATACTTTTAGTTTAGTTTTGCGTGTTACTTCCTTTCTGTTATTAATAAATGTTTTATTCATGGCATAATAAAGTCTTAAAGTTATCTCGATCCTGTTGGTGATATCTGCTACTTGTGTTCCCTTCTCATCTAATATTATTGTTTCGCCTGTGTTTTGTTTTTCCGCAATCCTTTAATACTTCACATATATTCAAATTTATTTGTGATTTAACTTCACTATTTGCTATGATCACTACATCGTTTGCAAATGCTTCTTCAGATATTTATACTCTTTGCAGTTTTCAGTATCCTACTTTTAGTTTTTTACTCATTGCTGTACATTTCTTAATAATTATCTCGTCCATGAGTATTATAAAAAGTTTTGGGTTTAACGATTTTTTGTTGTTGCTAATCATTATGTGCAAATTATTCTCATATATATTCTGTGTCATTCTTATTAATTTGCCTTCTATATTTCTCTCTTTGCGTGTCTTACATATTATTTTCCTACGTGCCTTGTCAAATGTCTTTTCGAGGTCTAAGAATGTTATATACCTATATCATTCTCTTTTCTTGGTTTAGTTTTTGTGCTATTTGTTTTGTGATATCTAATGATACTATCCCATGTGGATTATAATTCAAACCAAAATAATTTGATTTCCTGAATTGCAATTCGTACGAAGTAGTTCAATTGAAGATTTTTTTTATTTTCAAAATGTATTTTTAACTTACCTATTCAATTTTGAATTAAAAATGATTAAAATAGGTTTCTATAGTTATTCTCCTATTCCGGGCGAAGACAAATCCAACAAATCAAAAATTATGAAGATTCGTCCAGCCGTTTTTGAGTTATAAGTTGTGTAATTAAAACAATTTTGTGATTTTTATATATCAAAGACTAAATATAGTATTCGTTATGGTACCCATTAGGCCATATTGCAAAATTCTACCTTGTAGAAAAGCTGGTACAGACAAACTTTCGAAAAATTATTTCAAATATCTATTTCCTACCTTTGGTTGCACATTTCATAATCGCAATTCGGAATTATTAAACAAATTTTCACTTACAAATATCGTCTGAAACAGGAAAGATAGGAAAGAAAGTTTTTGACTTTATACTTCTTCATCTTTAGATATTATAATAATTTTATTGTCAATTGTATCTTTTTATCTATATATGTGTTAGGTTTAGTGTAGTTTAGGTACTGTGTATATGTAATTGGACTCTGTATATATTCAGGATAAATGAATAAATAAATGAATATTATATTTCATCAATTTTACAGGTGGTGCCCTATGTCTCTATGATATTCCCAGTGACCCTTGTGAAGAGAATGATTTAGCCAAATTCTTCCCCAGCGTTGTGAGACGCATGAAAAGAGCTCTGGTGGATTACAGGAAAACTCTTGTTGACCAGTTTGCTGAAGAAACTGATATCGAAAGCGCCAATCCAAAATTATTTAATCACGTTTGGAATCCATGGTTGGACTGTACAAATTCAGACTGTTCAATCCAGTGAGAAATAACATATTCTGCTCAGTTCTACAATATCCTTACAAACAGGATGGTCCTTACTATGGTCGATATTTGCATTGTGTGATATATCGAATGTTCCACATCAGTGGTGCCAGTATATTCATCTGTACTAGTTTTTAATCTGTATTTCCTGATTTTAACGATAGTAATTAAATTAAATAAAATTAAATCAAACTATTTATTTCATATTTCATTTCTTTTCCACTGATTTCAACCAGTCTTCGATTGTTTCAAAATGAAAGGTTGAATTCTCATTTTTTATAATGATTTCCTACCATCCATCAATTTATTGAAAGTGTATTTGAATAAAGTAGTGTCCAACCGAAAGTTCGGTTTCGGTTTCGGTCCAGTTTCGGCAAAAAAAAGGGGTTTCGGTTTAGTTTCGGTTTCGGCGGCAAACTTGCCGAAACTACGACCGAAACCGAAACTGCATTCGGGAGTTCTCGCGCTGTGATCGATCAAGTTCGGCTCGTTGAATTTCATACAAGCGACGAAGACATTTTGCCGCGTCCACGTGCCTAATCATGTCGTGACTCGTGACTTACTTTGTGATTTACTTTGTTTATGTTTATTACATAAATATTAAGTACCTATTGTGATATTAGGTTACAACTTAAATAAGTAATTTTATGTTCAATATTTTTGAAAAATCATTAATAATATTCAAAAGAAGAATCTACACCTATTCAAATGAACAACTCACCTATTTTAAGTATTTTTAAGGTGCAATTAACATTTTTTTCTCAAATAAGGGGTTATTTATTATGTTGATTTGTTGATTTTCAATAATTGAAGATGTCAAAGACTGCATAACGCTGTAATTTAAAGATGAAAAAATAAAGACTGACCGATTATAATGTTTTCTTTATTTTTTCCTCAAAACATAATCCTTGTAAAGAAGTTTCGGTTTCGGCCGAAACTGAGACCATTGCCGAAATTCGGTTTCGGTCGTAAAAACCAGTTTCGGACGGACACTAGAATAAAGATAAAAACATAATGTAATAACCAAATCAAAATAATTTTAGTCTCGAAAGAGAAACATATTATGGAAAAAACATCAGTCGTAAAACTACTAATGATGAGGTTTCTTTTAAATAAATGACACACTTATTTATCAAAATTGCATTCTAAAATAAAACGGTATAATAACTGTACTTCAATAATACTTCAGACTTATGGGAAAAAAGCTTTTGGCTTCCTTCTACAGCTTCATATAAAATTGTGGAAAAATTACAAAGTTTTCCAATTAATCTGAATTTTGAAAATTCATCACCTAGCTTCTAAAACAGATTGACTAACTCCAAATGAAACTATGAAAATCGGTTCTCAAAAATCTCTTAAGAATTACACGTCAAAATAATGTATCTTTCAACCCTACTGAATTCAAAGCAACAAACTATTATCTAAGCACTTGGACATTTGATCCTAATACACAGTCATCAATTATTTTCAAGACGAATTTTTATTATAATATCGAGTTCCTAGGCGGTAAGCTTTAATGATCTTAATATTACCAGAGAATAATTTTGCCCGACTCACTGTTTTTGTATAAGATGTCTCAACTGAATTATTCTCGTTAAACTCCCATGATAGAATTTCGTTATCAATTTTTCTCACCTTGTTTCAAGTGATTTTTTCGCAACTTCTCTATAGTAAACGAATTTTTCGTTGAAAATAAGTTTTTCAATACTGTACGTAATAATTATGATTTCCAAAAACTTCTACTCAAGGTCTTCACACGAACCGGTCTTTCACCTATCACTCCTACCACTCTACTCCACCCATTTCTATGCCCCCTCCTCAATGGGTTGCTATATTACTGGATCCTTTACCTATTCTCTTAATCCTCCTCAATTCAACTGACAGAAAAAAATCCCAATATGACCATATTGAATCAATGGATTGCTGAATATCAATTGTAGAAACCCGCATTTAACACGCAATTTGAAATTAGATACTTGATTTAGGATATCCGTGGATCAATTATTTCTGATATCAACCCTTGCTAAATATCTTTTGAAAATAGGTAGATTTACCTAGATTTCTGTTAAAATTTTTGAAAATCTACCTTATTCAACCTTAGTGGTTTTATCACAACTCATAAATCAGTCTTTTGAATCTGTCGAGTTCCCATCGTTTCTGAAGACATCTCTGATAATCCCTTTGTATAAGGGTGGACCCAATGATGACCCTTCCAACTTCCGGCCTATAGCACTTATTCCTACCCTTGCTAAACTCATAGAAAAACTAGTGAAAAGCAGAATTTTATGTTTTTGCAATGATAATAACATCCCTACTTCTCGTCAATTTGGATTGTATCTTTTATTATTTATGACTTTGTCTATAAGATGTAGTTCTTCAGACAATAAAGTATATTTGATTGATTGATTGATTGATTACAATTGAATTGAATCTCCCTTATTTGGTATTTTATCTGATTGTAGGAGTATCCATGAAAATCTCACCTAGAACGCTCCCTTGAAAAAAATTTCACACAAAGCTAGTCTCTGTCCATAAAGACATGTCGAAGCATCTGTGTAAAGTATTGTAAGCTAGGGTATAATAAAATCAATTGATGTAATAATTGTCAGACCAACTACCATGTATGGAACAATTTTCTAGTGGCCGAAAACTCTACATTGAACGGCACAGGCGAAGCTTCCTGGTTTACAGTGAGGCTTGCTTGGCTATTTCTGGTGCCATCTGCACCACACAGGTATCGGCCATAGAGAAGCTTTATAGACTATATAACCTCTTCTTCACATCTTTTTAGAGAGAGATATTGGACAGGCAAATTATAGAATTGTTCATCTTGCCAATTGCACAACTCAGGTATATGCAGAACGTAGCAAACTATGGGCTGACATAGGAAATGACATCTCACTTGATATCCTAACTTCGAGTATAGAAAGGACTAGATCTTCCGGTGAAAAGATAAATAAAGAGCAGATATATGTTGGTTTACCAAATGGATATATATATATATATATATATATAAT